CAGCTTTGCTGGCTGAGGAACTCTGGGAGTTGAAGTCCACAAGTCTTAAAGTTGCCAAGGTTGGACACCCCTGGTTTAGACTCTGCTAGCATCACTTGAACTTCACTGCCTTTGAAACTACATCATGGCAGCTTAAAGCCAGGGAAGAAAGGGGAAAACTAATTGCGGCATTACGACAGATAAGGGCTATCTGCCCCTTTCTGGCCAAGGGCCGCCCTGAGCAGGTGTTTCTTCTCCCCACCCACCCACCCCACAACAGCCCCTTAAGATCCGGTGCGCTGAAATGCTCGTTTGCCCTCACTGGTGACACCCCAACTTATTAAAGCAAGGCTTTGGATGAATTTCAGCCGAGTTTTGTTTATGAGTGGAGTTTTTAAAAAGTGCCCTTGAATTTTTCTATTAGTTTTATTGTTTGACCAGTCATTAGAGCGGCTCTGAGTTACCTGCAGCGACTTACTAGGTAGAAGCAACCAGGCTAACCCTGTCACCCAAATGGGGACACCGCAGGTCCCCATGCTGCTTAAGTCAAGTCAGAGGTGGCCCCGATCCTGGAGATGGCTTCATTTCAAAAGCTGCTAGGATGGCGCTCTTCCACGGAGTCTCTGAAAGTGGAGACGCATCCTGGGTGGGTTGCCATCGTCTCATGGTGGAGCTGACGGCCATCGCTGGCTTGATCCTTTACGGCCTCCTTATTTGCACACCTGTTTTAAGTTTTCATCAACCGCCAGGAGCCTCTGGATTCTGGTGGCCTTTGAGTGAGAGAAACAAATGCGTCCGTCCAGGAGGGTTTCACGAATCAGATGTCCTGGCCTGTCCATTGTCCTGAAGGGACTCGCAGGGCTCTGGCTCCCTAAGCAGAGGAAACCCCCACCCCACCCCGGATCATCCTTGAGCCTTTGGAGAAACTACACTTCCCAGGAGAATGAGGTGCAGAAGGCGTGACATGCAATCCGGCTTCCCACTGGTCACAGAGGGGAAATGCCTCAAAGGGAACGAGCTGGCCGTGCTTATTCTCAGCGAGGCAATCCAAATTTTAAAACAAGGGTGTACAGTCGGCCTTTCCAAGCAAATCAAAAGTCAACGGGGGTGTAAGACAACTCAAAACGTATTAAAAACAAAAGCCCCAAACCAGCTTAAGAGGGCCCAACGGACAGGCCTTGCTCAAATGAGCCATTTAATGGAATTTACTATGAATATGTTCAATTTTAGCACGCCTGCAATAAATTTGAAATTATTAAAGCCTCATTGGACATTCTTTCCCTTCCCGCCTGCTTCATGATGATACCACATTAGCTTTGCCGGCCAGGCCTCTCGGCGCAGCCACCGCTGCCCTCTGCTTTGCACGCTTGGAGCCTTTCCCAGATTTAACAGATGCCAGAAGTAGGAAGGTCGCCCTGGAGCAGCCCCAGGATCTCCGAAAAGGCTCTCGGTCACACGGCAGAACCGGCCCAAGGCAGAAGGGCCCCCCCCCCATGAATCATGACCTCCGAGAACTGTCTGTGGCCGACCTGATCTGGCAGGCCGGCAGCAGGGAGGGAAAAACACGCCACTCCTGGGTTGTCTGTGTGTGTGTGTGTGTGTGTGTGTGTGTGTGTAGGCTGTTTCCGCCTTGATCTTTTATCTCTGTAAATACAACCTTTAGCAAGCAGGGCCCTGGCCGGTAGCACCACCATGTCAGCAAGTTGCAGCAACCTCTGTTTTCCTGAACAAATAAAAAAGAAAAAGGAACCACTTTTCTGTCAAGCAAGCTCCTTTGTCGCTCTTTCCTCAGCTGATGCAGATTCCGCACTGTTGACACAGGATCCCTTCCTGCCAGATCCTTTCCTGGCCACTTTCCAAGGGCCTTGGACTGATCTCAAGTTGCTTCGGCCCAGAAGATCGACTGGGATCCACTGGCTGGGATTCTCAGCAGCAGAGATAGATTTCTTGGTGGATTCATTCAATTTACACGCAGGCTTTCGACAGAAACCAGCACTCAAGCATTCAAGTTGGAGACAGCAGCAAATAAAAGACACACAGTGGAGGCACATACCAATCCCAAATTACACAGCCGAAATAAAGAAAACGTGGCACCAGCAGCAGCCACGCAGCTCTGCAGGCGAGGAGGGAAGCCTTTCCTCCTGTTCTGGGAGCCGTAATTAATTCCTGTGCTCAACATTCTTTGACTTTTGCACAAAGTGCTCCACGGTGGATCTTGGAATTCAGTCGAAAAATAGGTCAAAACTCGACCTCCAGATCTTAACGGTCGACAAGGGTGCAAACTGGGAGCTCCGGTATAGTTCTGGACAGTAGCAAAACATTGGGGTTCATAGTCAACCTAGTTTTGCATTCCATGCGTTGTGCAGAGCCAGCATCTTCTTAGCTCATGCTGCCTTTGTGCTCCGCCCATGAAGTGTCACCCGGGGTGAGAAGAGCCGGCGAAACAGGCAACCAAGAGCAGGTAAACCATCCGAAGGAACGTCAGAAGGTTCTGCAAGCCATCCTGACATCATATGGCACGGACAGGGCTGTATCCCATAGTCTGGGCCATTGGTGTCGGCCCCACAGCCAGTTGCCAAGGGAATTCTTCCCCAAGAAAATATTTTGTGCAGGAGCCAAAAACAACCGTTCATGGGCTCAGGGCAGCGAGAGGAACATCATTCGCCCCAAACACACAAGCAGGCAAACCCTTTTCTGCAGCTCCGGTTTATAAACAGCTAATTACGACAACAACCGACTGAACTAACCACCCTCTAATCAGCTTGCAAATCGTTTACTGTTTTCTGAAGCGATGCCACAATGTTGTGCAGCACTGTTCCCTTCCACAAGGGAATGTCCAATTGTTTCAAAATACTTTCAGGAATCCGCCTATTGATTTGCTATATTGGGAAACAGTCGTAGAGGCCCTGCGCCCAGAACCGTATAAATGAAATGTTTGTACCAGAAAGAGAACAGCCTGTGAGATGGGAAGCGGAAGGGAATAAAATGCACATGTCTGTTGCCTCACAAGCATGACTGCAGGTGTTTCCTCTGAAGTAAACCTCAGAGTAGCCCAGAGTGGGAGGTGAATAACTACGAGAAGAGCCTTACTCACCATCCCTCCCCCCCCTCTGATGAGAAGGAAGGATTCCTCTTGGGAGAGAGCCAGTGACACAGCCTCACAGAGGGCTCTAATGCCTCCCCTCTCGGACTGAGGCAGCCGGCCTTGGAAGAACAAAAGACTCCCACGGCATCCCACACCACGGAAGCAGCAGCGAAGGGCTGCAAGGCTGAAGGCCTGGGGTACCAACTGTTACACGCACAGGGCGAAGGAGAAGCCAGGAGAGGCGGGCAGGCGAGGGGTTTGCATCCCACACAGCTTCCCGTAGGGAAAGAGGACCTCCTTCCTTCCCCTGTTCAAAGCGAAGGCGCCTCTTATTGCCAGGTTCTTTCCACCCACCCCGTGGGAAAAGGGATCGGCTGCATTCAAACCGCCCCCCCACCAGCCCCCAAATGCACAAGCGTTTGCAAAAGGCTGGCAGCAACCGTGCAGCTTCAGGCCCCCTGGAGCTCAATGCACCAGCTTCAAGCGGGCTCCGACATGGAGGAAAGCAGCAGCCGCACGTTGCCTCGCCAGCAATGATGCCATCTCTGCTGTGGCTTCCTGCAGTCGGGGCCTTTGCCCGCTGGCCATGAAAGCCCCCCCCCCCTCCACCCAGGAGCCCTCTTGCCCCTTGAGTGCAGCCTGGCACTGACCAGGGAGCGCCCATCGCCCCCACGCAGGGCCCTCCTCCTCCTCCTCCTCTCCAATCTGCACCCAACACCTGCACGCCGCCTGCCGCCGTTAACCTGGCTCTGGCTCCCGCCTTGGCACAGCCGCACCCTGCCTTCTTCCCCGGAGCTGCACCCAGAGGGCCGCGCCAAGTTCCTCCCGGGGCCCTTTTGCAGGCCCGCCGGCGCCCCTTCCCCTTCCACCTGCCCGGCCTGGGTGGGCACCGCTCCGTGCTCCCCCTCCCCACCCTCTGCACGCGTGCCACCCTCATCCTCCGCCGCGGCTGCTTCCATTGGCACAGGGGCATCGACTCCTTGCAAACGCCGCCCGCCGCCCGCAATGGTTCCCGGCGGGGTCCCCTTCTCTGCCCTCCCGGCTGCCCCCCGCCCAGCCGGACGCCACGGCTCCCCGAGGAAAGGCCGCTGCGCTGCCCCTTTGCGGAGGCGGCCAGATCCGCTTCCTCGGCCGGAGCTTCTGCCCGCCAGACGGAGCCTCCTTCCGCCCCCGCCCGGGCTCTGCCAGCGACCCCTGCCCGGCAGCCCCTGGCGCGTGGGGGAGAGCCGGCTCCCGGGGGCAACGCGGGCACCGGAGCGGATGGACTACAGCACCCATCGGCCTGGGCCTGGGGGCGGCGATGACGCCCTCGGGGACCCCCACGGGGCAGCCCGCGCCAGGCGGACTCCTGGGCCGGGCAGGGGAGGCTGCGGAGGGAGGGCTTGGGCCAGGTGGGTCGGGGAGGCGGATGGGATTTGTAGTCCAGAGCCCAGTTGCGGGCCGGGACGACCCCTCCCCGCAGGGGATCCCCGCGAGGCCCTCGGGGCAGGTGAACGCAGGCCGGCGAGGGACCCCGCGGGAGCCCCAGTCTCGCCCGTTCCAAGAGCCCCAGGCCGGCTGCGCACTATGGGAGTTGTAGCGCGGGCGTGCCAAGAGCCGCCCCCGGCGCCCCCTCACCTGGCCCTCCGCTGCCGCCCAGCAGCCTCCGCCGCCGCCGCCGCCGCCTCCTCCTCGCGCGCAGAGCCCGCAGAGCCGCCGCCGCCGCCGCCGCCTCGCACGGACTGGCCGGCACGCGCGAGGACCGGCCGCCAGGGGGCGGGGGGTGGGGCCGGCAGGCGAAAGCCCCGCCCACGCCCCGCCTTCCTCCGACCGCGCCCGCGGGGCGGCAGGCTAGGAAGGCCAATCGGCGCCCGGCGCGCCTCTCCGGGCGCCCAATCCCGATTGCGAAAGGGGTGGGGTCCGACCAATCGAGCTGGCCGATTGGCTGCCGCGCGGGCGATGGTTTCTCTCACGGGCCTTTTCCTCTGTCGCGCAGGCGCAGCGACGCTCCTCGGCCGGCGAGGCACCTGCTGTTTGTAGACAACCCGCGCTGGCGGTTCTCAAGTGCAGTTGGGCACCGGACCTGGGTTGGAGCTCTGCGGGATTCTCCAGCCGCCGTAAAAGTGGCCCAGGTTCGAAATCACTGCCCTGGAGGGACCGCCCAACCTTCCTACTGCAGCCCCCCATCATCCCCAGCCCTGGGCTGCTCTGGCAGGGGATGATGGGCTTTGCATCCCTGCAAATCTGGACGAGAGCCGGTCCAGAAGAAAGATTGAATCAAGAAACCCTGTCCATTGCGTAATCCACAAACGCACCGTATTTATTCAAAGAACCCAGGTTGCCTGCCATTTGTGAACACACAAACACGCCCCCAAAAAACAAAATGTTGGCCTGGAAAGTCCAGCTGGACAAAGAGCCCAAAACTCCCCAAGCAAATGACTTCCAAGACGTCCCTCCCAAGATTTCTTTTTGATTCAGAGTCTTAAAAGACCAAGAATCATCTGGGTTCATTTTCAGGGAAAGCGTGATCAAACATAAAAGCGAGCTTGATTACCTATTCATCTGCCAGAAACCTGCAAAATAGCATCTTCTTTATCCAAAGAAAATGGATGAGGAAGCACAGGTGTGTGTTTTCCTCACGGCGTTTGCTTTTTGACCAGAAAGGGGTGCTGCAGAATTGGAGGAAGAAGAAACTATCTGCAGGAGCATCTGGGAAACATTTTTCCAGCGGAAAAGAGAGTTCCAGAAAAATCACTTCTGAATAATAGGACTACAAGTATGTGCCAAGCAAAGGTGACCAGAGAAAGCCGTCACACCCCCATGAGAGTCCCTTCAGCTACCCATGGAAAGGCCTCGTTGCTACCAAGGGATGAAGCCTGGATTTTCTGAGGGTGCCTACGGAAGCCGTGCATTTTCACTTATTTTTGCACGACACGAGGAGAGGAAACCTGGCCATTCGCAACCTCTGTTGCTCTCCAGACCATTTGGACTTCAGATCCACTTTCTCTTGAGAGCAGGCAACAGAATTTCGTTTTTAATGTGGGCCAGTGTGCTCGCAGTAAAAAAATGGCAAGAATGTTTATCTATCTTATCCTGACTCTGAGCCCAGCAAACATGATTGACTAGGCTAAAATCATGATTCTTTGAACTGCGACAAGTTCAGAAGACTGTTGACCAAAGCATAATTATTTATTCTCTGCACACCAAAGGTGTAACTCCTCAGATACAAGGCAGCCTGAAGAAGCACTCAGTGAAAATCCAAACCACTTTTATTTGGTATTGGAGGATCTAACATAACACACAATCTTACCTGGTTAGCATCCTCCTGGGCAGCCAACAAAGGCTCCACATTTAAAAAACCACCTGTATTTTAGGCTCCCATCTCACCTTTCCTAGCAGGTGACGCCGCCTTCTCGGCTGCCGGCTTCTGCTTTTCAAAGGTCTTCTTCACGTCGGCGACTTTCAGGGGCTTTTCCTCCTCTTGTTGCATCGTTCTCTTTCTTTGCTGCAGTGGCAAAACAGGCTTGTCTCCCCAGGCTGTTTCTCCAGAAGCCTGGCAGCCTTCGCTGGAAGCGCGAGAAGGACACCGCAGCATCACAACCATGCTTGGAGAAGACTTGGAGATTCCCAGAGGTCGGGCTTCAGTTTCAGGGCTCTGCAAACTCTCCACCGGACTGCAGAGATCAAATCCCAGTTGGCCGCAGAGCCCCTCATCTTCCTCGCTCTCAAGGGAGGGGCTGGAGGTCCACTTGGAGGGTTTCCTAGTCTGGGGAGAAACCAAATCGAGGCTGAGAACGGTGGACCTCCTGATCTCCAGGCCCTTTTTGTCCACCTTGACGCTCTCGGGCTCCTCCAGCTTCCGTTCTTCACCTAGGTGACAGCCATTGGGGGCTCTTGCAGGCCAAGGAAGACCATCCCCCCTTCCCTCAATGACCATTGCTGGGTCGCCGGAGGTTTGTTCTTCCGCCTCTTGGCTCCTTCGCCCCGGGGAAATCTCCGTCTCTCCAGTCTCCTCCCCTGCAGAAAAATCCAGCCAGTTCAGGATCCCGGCCTTGCTTTCCTCTGCAGGGGAATTCAGCACGAGCCTGTTGACGTGCCTGCTTTCCGCACAGCCGCTGCTCTCTGAATCTGACCGGGATATCTGCCTCCTCAGGGGTCCCCGGGGAGCATCGATCGTCTCTCTGCTCCCATCTGCAGCTTCTCTCTCCCAGCTTTGCTGGCAGCCAAAGTTATATATTTGAGCCCAAGGCCAAGTGCGGTCCGTCATTTCCCTTTTCCTTTCAGAGGCCACCGGAGAGTCAGAGGGGTGGGACTCTCCCTGGCTGGTGACGATGCTAAGTTTGGCTTCTTCCAGCCTGTACAAAAGAGCATTCACCTTCCTGCCTTCTTCCGAGCATTGCTTTGGGAACACCTGCATCGCGCCCGGCTCCTCTGGGCCCTTTCCGCACACCTGCGCACCTGTTCCGCTCTCCTCCAGGCTTCGGTTCAATTGCATTTCTCTCGTGGATACCTGAAAGCGGTCCGTTGTGCCCCTTGCCCAGGGGATCTCACCAGCCTCCTGCTCCGCCATCGGAGCCCAAGCGTCACGGGACATCTTAGAGGTCTTTCGGAGGTGCGGGGGCTGCTGGCTTTGAGTCCCGCCGCTGCCCTCCGGCAAGTGGGGCCGTTCTGCAGCTTCCATGCTCGGCAGGGGCTGGAACCCCCAGGCCAAGTTCCTGTGCAGAGGAAACCCGAGCAAGATCTGTTCCCCGTTGCCGGTCCGTCAACTTTGCATTTTATAAGAAGCCTGAGGGGAAGGCATGCAGGTTTTTAAAAGCCTGTTATGGCTAAAGAAGAAGGATTAGCCTGACCAAAACCATTGCACCCAACAGCGGGACAAGAAGCAAGTGCTTTAAAAGGAAAAGTATGAGAGATTTTCCCCACCTGAGCAAGCAGAAGCAGCCACCTCCAACGTCTCGGCTGCCGAGCGTCCGTGCTGCAGATTCAAAAGCTCTCTGCCGTTTTCTCTTTTGGAAGAAAAAGGGTGGAAGCAGCTTTCCCTGGTGACTCCCAGCAACCTGCCTTTTTGGGCCCCAACAGTGACGCTTCACGTTCTTCCTTTGCATTCATTTATGGTCAAGAGGCTCTGCTCACCCCCTTCTTCAGGAGCAGAGATCAAAAGCAGACGGGCAACACCTTCGCCGGGAAGGCCTCTCTGCCCTGTCCTGCTCCGTCTCCTCCGGGATGCTCGGTCTGGCTCCCAACTGGCTCGAGGGAAAACTAGAAGAGGTTTTGGCCAGCAAGCGGAGGGAATGCCGATTCTGTCTGCAGTGCTGGGATATGTAATTGTGGGAAGGATGGCTGTGACATGCCAGGAAGTAAACAGAGCCGCCTTGTGAATCTCCATCCATCTCTCTCGGGCGCTCGGCTCCTCTCGGGGCTGGGCAGTCTCTGCTAATAATAAACAAACTCCTGCAAATCTCCCTCGCCTGAAGAGGGTTTCGAGTAAGGATCTAGGTTTATATGCAGCCAGAGGTTTGGAGGAGGACTGGACCATTTCAGTTAAACAGAGAGAGCAACCATCCCTGTCCGGCTCCCATCTCACAGCAGGCTAGCCAGACGGGGACGGCCGTCATCGCTCTTTGCCTTTTATGGCTTGCTAGGGGTGTGAGGCTCTTGACACCCTTCAGAGGCTGCGCTTGGCCTCCCAGCCCGCCGTGCCAAGGTCTCACACCAGCCTCTGGTGAGGAGAGGGGACGTGTGTGTGTGTGGAGAAGGTCCACCTTCTGCCTTGGCCGTCCCCATCTGGGCCAGCTCCCCTGTTCTGCTTTTATGGTAACAAGCAGGACTGGCCAGTAAAGGTGGAAGAGCTGCCCTGGGGTCTGATCCAGCATCCCAGCAATCCCCCCCTTCTCCCCAGGAGAAAAGGGCAGCGTTTAGACCTTGCCGAAGGATGGAGGAGAGATTTTAGGAAGAAAAAAAGGAAGAAAAAATCCAGCTGTTTCTCTCTCCCTCCCCCCCTCCAAAAAATCTCCTTCTGCTGTGCTGCTTAGCCTGCATCCTTCTCCTGAAACCTTCCTCAAGAGCAGAGAGGTTGCCCAACGTTGGTCTGGTGGGTGGAGAACCTCTCAGTCCATCTCTGGAGGCTAAATCCCATCCCACAGACGCCAAATACAGTTCGCAGAAAAGGCTGTGGGATATCCTTAGCAGGACTTGTGTGCTTTTTCTGGAGCTACAAGACTTGGGGGGGGGGCTGGGGGGGTGCCTCCAGATGAATTCCCCACCCCATCAGCAGGAGCCCCTATCCTAGGAACTTCTCAGCAGAAGATCGGCCAATGGTGGGATTTCCTTTAACTGCTGATTGTTGTCTGCTTTACCATAGCAACCTTCATAACAGGATATAAACATCTGATGTCCTTGCCTTCCACACAAAAAACCGCACAGCTGGCCAAAAGCTGGAACATGAGGCCGGCTCCGTGTTAGGATGTGTTCTTGTAGCAGCTAATGGGAAAATGTGTTTCTCCATCCACAGGAGGAGGGGAAAAAATAAGCCGAAGACGCAGAAGCTCAGCTATCTTCGGTCCAGGCTGCTTTGGGAAAAAGTGGTCAAAAGTGCTCTTGTGGTTTTCTTGTTCTCTCGCTGACAGGAGGAAGTGGGGTACAAGAGGCGTCAACTTCTGCTAAGGGCCGCGGATTCACTTCCAGACCGACGGAGGGAGTCAGAGGAGCAATTTCTCAAAGGAAGGGAAACTAGAGTCCTTCTACAAAGCATCTTTCACGGTGGGGAAAAACCCGGATTTCTGCAAAGTTGTTGCCCTTCTAGACTTCGGAAAGTCTCATGGATGTCAATTCTTCTACAGGGTCCCAGGGTGACCATGCTGGCTGCCATGACGTAGAGCAGAGGTCTCCAAACTGGACAGCTCTGGACAGAGTTGTGGACTTCAATGGCCAGAATTCTCCTTGTTGCTAGGACGGAGCACAAGGCAAACTTTGGCTCAGACAATGTTATTCCTCTAAGATAAACACAGGCCATTTCTTTCCCTCCCGCAGGAGAACAATTCCAAGCAATCTGAAAAACTCATCGGAAAAGAGAAAACAAACACCGACTGGAGGCCTTTAAAGGCAAAATTTGGTGAGATTTCTGGAGAGACGTCTCCCTCCACCCCAAAAATGGGGAAAAAAGCTGATCCATCTCTAAAATTAAATCTATTGGATTAAAAAAAAACCTCCTGTGATTCTGAGATACGAAGAGTGCTAATTGCTTTTTTTGGCTACTCACAATTCAAGGTAAACCCATGATATGCCCAATATACAGCCAACAAGTTCTACAAAAGTCACCTAGGAGGTGGCATTTATGGATGGTTGTGTTGCTGATGTAGGTAATCCAAGTCCTGGTCAATCCCCTTTCAATGCAGTTTATGTTCACCTCATTCCCCCTCAGAGTAGAATCAATACTGCACTAACATTCAATCGCAATTATTTTGTCCTTCCTTTTAAATCGGTTCAAAGTGACCTTTGGCTGTAACTGGTTTTAGCATTTGGTCCCACCTGTCAAATCAGCATCAAGAGACTCCAGCCATGTTCTCTAAAATCCATCTCTTTCTGCAGCCCCGTGGAATCCACTTTTCATTTTCTGGGGTTTTTTTTTGTCTCAGAACTCAAGGATAACAAAATTATTTATCGTATCATTACTGTTAAATGTCTCTGACCTTAAAGGGTGCCATTTCTGGACAGTTTGTTCTGACTAGCACTACAGTTTCTACTAACAATGGGCATTCAGGAAAACAGAACTTCATCTGAGGTTCGAATTACGCTATTTTGGTTAAAGGTAATAAAACATGCCATATTCTGATTCATCCACAAAAGTGTTTAATGCCCCAGGAAACATACATTACCGGTCCTACCACACTAGGTAACACTACAATGAAATTTACAGTGTTCAACAGGATCGGGAGAAACAGTAAACATGGAACAGGTATATGGAGCAGGTACAGCAGAAGGGAGGGAGAATCAGGGGGTCCCACCCAACACCCCCAAACAAAACGATCACGTTTGGAGGGAAAACAACAGCCTTGTCAGCCACTGGTCAGTTTAGATGGGGACCTTGGCCAGTATGGCCAGCAAAAATGCTCGAACTACTCTGCCATTTCAGGTGTGTTGAGTGAGCCACGAGGCCAGGACGATAATCCCATTGACCTAAGCGCTATTTTTTCCTTAGGAATAAATGAGTTTCAGGGGAAAGGTTTGGAAAATCTTAAAACTACACACACACACGCACACACACACACAGAGGTGTCTGCCTATCTACGTAGATCTGAAGATCGGAGGTAGCATTTGCGTCCCCTTTGGGTCCTTTTGCACGAGGGGCCCTTAAAGGAGGAAGAGTAACACTTGGCTTGACCTTCAAAGCCAACCTCTGGGTCCTTTTGACCTTTTTTTTGGCATGTAAGGAAGGCTGGCGCTGCCCGATCGAAGTCGAGAAGAGGCCGTGAGAGACGCACCAGGGCCCTGCGCCTCCTCCTTGGGCTGGCCCCCTTCTCAGGGGCTCCTCGGTCGGTGGCCTCTTGGCTGGAAGGGCCACCTGAGAAGCGGAAGGCAACTCTCGTCTGTTCTGAACAAGGTAAAATTGGGTTTAGCACAGGCAAAACTAAAAGCATCCATTAAAACAAGGACACCGCAAAGGGGTCAGCTTTTCCCCACCCGGGGGGTGTGCTTCAGTTGCCCCAAGGGCTGGAGCCCGTCTGCCATGCCCTTCCAGGAGGGGAGGTTGCCAAGGGCGGGAGGCTCGCTTGGCGTGGCCTCCCTCGCGTGGGCCAAGGGCGACAGGTCCAGCTCGCCCATCAGGTCCTCGGAGGCCAAGTCGAGGCTGCCCAGCTTGGCCAGGGAGTTGGAGCGCTTCAGCGGAGAGGAGACGGTCAAGCCGGCCAGCCGCAGCCGGGTTTCAATCTCCTGCGTCCGCTGTTTCACCAGCCCGGGCTTCCCGTGGACGCTGTGGATGCTGTCGCTGCTGGAGCTCCGCGTGAGGTTGGAGCTCCTGGAAGAGGGCGGGGTGTAGCAGACGGTCTTCAGGAAGTCCTTGGTGAAGGTGCTCGTGTGGTCCCCCCTGGAGGGGACGGGCGTGGAGGTCTTCTGGGAGGCTCCGGCAGCCAGCAGGGCCTTCGGGAGCTTCTCCGGGGGGCCCTGGGAGGCGAGCGGCAGTCGACTCTCAACCGCCGCCATCTCCTGGGGCTCCTCTTCCAAGATGGTCGCCACATCGGCGGGGCCTCCGGAACACTCCTTGCCCTGCCCGGCCAGGTCGGAGGGCGGGGCCTTGAGGCGCTCCAGTTCCTGGGTGTGCTTGCGCACCAAACCGGCCTTCTGGAGCTGCAGAAGAGACTCCTGGTGCTGCATCAGGTAACTGTTTGTGGTCGGCTTCTCCAGGTCTTTGCTGAAGAGCAAGTATTTCAGGTCCTTCGTCTGCCGAGCCTCTTTTCTTGGAAAAGAATCGTGCTTGGAGACGGGGCTTCCCTCACAGAGAGAAGGCCTGGAGCCAGGCGAGGCGCCTCCCGGGGCTTTCGGGGCCTCCCTGGGCTTCTCAGAAGGGCCACAGGGCCAGCCTGGAGCCGGCCGGTCGGGACTGACGTCCTGGGCCTCGCTTCCCACCACCATCGGGAGCTCCTGGGGTTCCTTCCGAGGCCCCTGGCAGAAGGCCTGCTCCAGAGAGGCCGGGAAGGAGGGCTGGGTGCAGACGGCGGCCCGTGGGCCAGGGGTCTCTGCTGGCAGGGCCCCTGGGGGGTCCCTGAAGGCTTCAGGAGGGGACCCCCCCAAGGGATACAGGCAGTCAGTGCAGGATTTGTAGGGGGGCTTGACTCGGTTCAGGATCCCAAAGAGCGCTTCGTGCTGGAGAGGAGAAAAGAGAGGAGGGTGAAAGGGGGACATTCTCCACCCAGCCCTCCCCCAGGAGGGGGGGGAGGGGATTCCTCAGCCAGGCAGGTTGGGCCCTCCAGACAAGAAGAGCCCAAAGGAAGCCTTGGGGGTCAAGAGGGGGATCAGACCCTGGGGGTCCCAGGAAGCCCACCCCCCACAAAACAGACCCGGCCAAGCTCAGTCCGGCCCTTACTTCAAAGTCATCCGGGCAGCTCCTCTTACTGTTGTTGTTATTCAGGTTCTCGCCGATGGGCCGGCCCTCCCCGTCCATCAACCGGCGCTTCCATCGCTCGAGGGGCTTCTCCTCCCCCAGCTGGGCAGCCGAGGCCTTCTGATGGCTCTCGGGGCCTGCGGTGCTGGACAGCTCGGCCTCCCCCTGGACGCCCGGCTCCGCTGCCTGCAGCTGGCCCAGCAGCACCTCCTCCTCCTCCTCCTCCAGGATGGAGTCGGCCTCCAGGTCCTCCACCTGCAGGCACAGCTCCGGGGGGCCTGGCAAGGAGTCGGAGAGGCGCCGCAAGCAGTAGTGGAGGCCCACCAACTCCAGGGGCGTCCGGTGGTCGGTGCAGAGAGGCGGGCTGGGAGGCCCCAGGTCCATGTCCTCCAGGCTGCCGAGCAGGAATTCGGTGGGCCCGGCGGAGCTTTCCAAACTGGGGGAGAAGCCGCCTCCCGCCTGCTGTTTCCAGAGCTTGTTGTGGCGCTGTTTGCTAGATGGGGAGAAACAGAGGGGAGGGGTGGCCAGGGGGGCTCAGGGGCTTCGTGCCCAGGGAGAGTCTTGATTGTCCGGTTGTCCCAAAGGCAACTGGACATTTTTTGGAAAACGTTTCGCTTCTCATCCAAGAAGCTTCTTCGGTTTTCAAAGGGAAAAAACAACAAGAAAATCAAGCTGCCTTTTGAGGGGGGGGGGGAATTCAGGTGGGCAGGTCAAGTGGCTGCAAGGGTCAGGGGCAAAAACACGGGGAGGAAAGGGGATCGAACGGCCTGTGGGAACGGCCTTGGGAGACAGGAGGAAGGACTTCAGGCAAGGCAACGGTCGGATAAGAAGCAGAGAGGAAAAAGGGGTCCTCCTCTCAAGAGCTCATTTCTGAGCTCAGGAACCCAACTTCCACGGCTGGGGGCTAAGGGGCAGCGTGGATCTTCCCCCGCCCTCTGCCCCCCCTCCCCCTTACCTGGCATCCAGTATTCCCTGATATTCCAGCAGCTGCCTCATGAACCCGGCATTGGGCCGAGCGATGCTGCGCTTCTGCTTGACGTAATTGTAGGCTTTCTCCAATGACCACCCAAACTCCTTCATGGCGTAGGCGATGACGGTGGACGCGGAGCGGCTCACACCCATCTTGCAATGGACCAGGCACTTGGAGTGGTTCTTCCTGGGGGAGGAGAGGGGCGGGAAGGGGTCAGGAGCAGGGATGGGGCCCTCAAGCCCCCGTGCCCTATTTCAGGTCTCACCTCTGCCTGGGCAAGGAAGCCCTCGAGGTGGGGCAGGGACAGCTGAAAGGGGCCAGACTTGTGGACTTCAACTTCCAGCACTCCTCAGCCAGCTCTGGCCAGGGAATTCTGGGAGCTGAAGTCCACAAGCCTTAAAGGTGCCAAGGATGGACACCCCCTGGCCTTAAATGTCCATCTTCAGCTGCAGGGTCCCTCCAGTCTTGGAAGTAAGCCATTCAGGGGAGGACTTTCCTGGGGTATCTCGCCCAGAGGTCCCAGCTTTGGACCCACAGAAACGGAGGCCGCGAATCGGCTTCTGGGAACTCACTTGGCTTTGTTGATAAAACGGTAAGCCTCGTTCCAGTGGGCGAGGAGGTCGGTCGTTTCTTCGTCGTAGACGCGGATGTTGTGGTATGCAAACAGCCCTGGGAAGAAGTTGTCGATCTCCCTGGTGACGTTCAAAATGTAGTCCACGCTGAAGGGACGGAAGCAGACGGAGCAGCAGGGGAAGGGAAGGAACGGCGGCGTCTCCGTGAGAAGGAAAGAGCCATTAAGAAATCAATACCGCTCAGCCCAACCTCCTAGTGCAGCCTGCATCTGAACCCGTACATTTCTGCCCGTCTTAAAAAGCAGACAGGGCAAGAAATGGACTCTCGGCCACCCTGAAAGTTAAAAATGAGATCTAAAGTGATCGAGACGTGGTTGGTTTAGGCTGGCTAGAGAAACCTCACCACCTCACAGACCTGATTGTGCTTCCTCTCTTCCCTTGTCTCTACTCACGCGAGGGTGTCTCTCCGAGACATCTGCACAGTCGTTTTAATATTTTAATGGTCTTTATAGTTCTTTTCGTTTTAAATTGTTTTTAAGATTTTAAGTTTAATGTAGGTGACTGGATTGTGGCCCGTTTGCTGCGATGGGCAAGCGATAGAAATCCAATAAAGGAAATAATAACCCTCTCCCATTCTTCCCTCCCTCCCTCCGCCAAGGCCCACCTCTTCACCCTCCGCAATTCCTGGCCCAATGCTCTTCATCTGAGGAGGTTCAGGTGTCTATGAATCCAACTCTGTGCGACAGTCCCAGGGGCTCCCTTGGCCGTGGGGCCTTTTTCCACCTTGGCCACTCAGGATTCCACGTGGCCCTGGCAGGCCGCTTGCCTAGAGAGCCCCGAAGTCAAGGAAGTTGGGGTGAACTCACCCTGAGCCCCGAAGCTCCTCCAGGTTCGAGGCATTCCATTCGGACCCCTGGAAGAATCACAGCAGAGTCAAGCGGTGGTGCTTGGGGGTGGGGCGGGCAGGGGGGCTCCCAAGAGAGACCTCCCACGCGTGGATGCTTACCAGGTAGAGGTGGTCGAAGATGAGGGAGGGCTTGTCCATCTGGCCCAGGATGAGCAGCATCTCGTTGTCGATGAATTCCTTGAATTCTTTCAAATTGCAGCTCATCTGCTTCTCCAGCTGGTTCCGGATCTGCCGAGAGAAGGAGGGAGGAGCTTAGGGCACGGAGCAATTCTGAGGGAGGTTGGCGGTGGCGAAGGAGGCCCCCCAGGTCCCAGTCCTCGGCCTCCTGGGTTTACTTCTTTGGAAGTCACGTTCTCCAGATCTTTGCTCATCATGATGCTCCGGAGTTGGGCCTTGATCAGTCGTTCAGCCCTCTCGCGCTCAGTTGGCCTGGGAGGGAGGGAGGAAGGAAGGCCGGAGTTGTGGTGGGTTGCAATTCCAGACGGCTGCCTTCCCACAAAGTATTCCCAGAATTCCCCAGGAGAACAGCAAGCCGGGAGAAATGCTGAGCCTTTGTGTCGCCTTCTTGCTGACCAGAAACAGTTGGGGTTCCACAGAGAAGCACCCCAACAGCTGTTTAACCACACGAGGGAGGATCAAGGAAGGGAGCTTCTGAAGGACTGAGCACGGAGGGTTAGAGACCCACAACCAAGCCTGCGCAAGCACCTGGTTCTCTCCAACACAACGCAGCCTCTGGTGTGCCTGTGTGCCCATGCATAAAGAGTGGGTGTGGGTCTTAGAGACAGTGACTCGACCAATAAGGCCAGCCCCCAACTGTCCATGCCTGCCTGAACATCTCGGCCCTTGTTTGACGAGGCAGGTGGGTGGTGCTCAGGATGCTGCGGGAGCCCCCTAGAAGCCCCAGAGAGATGCTCCTCCAACCCCACAGGGTGCCCTTTCCTCCCTCCTCCTCCTCCTTCCACCTTGGAGCGAGGCGAGGAAGGGCACCCCTTTCCAAAAGGCCAGAGGGGACAACCCTCCACAAGGGCCCAACGCAAGAACGGGAGGGACCCACTTGTCCATGTAGAGGGCAGGCGAGTCGGGGCGTGGGGACTCCAGGTCCTGCATGGCGTTCCACTCGTTGAGGCAACTCTGCTCGGAGGCGATGCAGCTCTCGTAGTAGGTGGCCCAGACAAGCGCCATCCCCCCCGGGAAGTAGTTGTGCCTCCGAGCCATCTCGCAAGCCTTGTGGAGGATCTGCAAGGCAGACCTACGAGTGGGGAGACCCAAAGAGACATCGCTTGGCCCCGGCACCCTGAGCAGCAGGAGGCCCAGCCAAGCAGGCCCCAAGGAGGAGGGTGGCTGAAATGGAAGGCGCAGCGGAGCCCTCCTGACCACTGCAAGGAGGCCAGGAGAGCTGCTGAGGCCGGCCAGCCACGGACCGCCTGGGTCCCTGCCACGGCCACTGAAAAGCGGCTTCAGTCTTTGGGGAGGAGGCAGGAGGAGGAAAAAGGGAGCCGCTCACCACATGGCTTGCACCGAGACCGGTTTGAAGATGTGCGTCTTGCCCACCGTGCTGACGCTGAACCCGCTGACAAAGACAGACAGAAATCGATGCAGCGCACACAGGGAAACAGACCGCAGCTCTTTCCCAGTAGGCAACAATCTTAGATCGAACCAGAAATGGAGGGAGATCCGGGCAGGCAATAAAATCCTGCCCCCCTCCAGGAACTGTTCACAACAGTCTCACCTCCCCCCACCCACCCACCAGCTTTGCCATCTCCTGCCAGCTCTCCGGATCCCCCTGGTTCTCACCCGTCTCCATCCAGGTGGATCTTCGTATCGCTCCACAGACGTAACACCATCCCGATGGTACAACTCTGGCTGCCGGGAAAGAGGGACGGGGAGGTCCAGGGCTGCTGATTGGGCAGAACGGGGAGTGGAGGAAGCCATCCCTGCTCTTCCAAGGACGCCCAGGCCCTCACCCCTCACCTCTCCTTGCTGGAAAAGTCCACGCCCAGGAGAATGTTCTCCTCGGTATCTTGGCGCCCGGTGCTGTAGACGACCACCATGTACCTCACGCGATTGCTCCAGGCACTTTCTAAGCGTACGGCCTAAAAACCAGCAAGGCAGTTCTCAGCATTCATCCCTTTGGACAAATCTCTCTTTAGCTACGTGTTAGTTTAGCTAGGTATGTTTCTGGCAAGACAAAAAGAAGAGGGTTCATTCAATTTTCTCCAAACCACCTGGTGCCCTCTAAACAGACGTTGGGCCACATCTCACACAGTCTTCCAGGCAGCACTAGGCAGGGAAGGGTAGCTGGGAATTATGGGGATTCTAATCCGATGCCCCTGGAAGGCACCAGACTCCCTTCTTCAGCTCTGGGCAGAAGATCTCAGAAAAGGTAGAGGAAGGCCAGATCCTGCTATCTACGCGATGTTCTTGAGATCTTCCAGCAGCAACGTCAGTGAGTCCACACTTGAGAGACCAAGGGCCCTCACAACCAAGCATTGATGGCTAAAGCTAGGAAAAATGATGATTGGGGATACCCTGCTTCCAATGCCACTTTGATTGACAGGAATAGGTTTCTCTCTTCATAGGTCTACTCTAGGTTCCCAAGCAACTCCTCCTTTCGGAAAGGTTTGATCTGCTGGGACAAGACCACTGCTGAATGGGGAGGGTGGCCACAGATTACACCATGGCAAGGATTTGGCAAGTCCTCTTACCAGCTTGATTCTGTCCTCACAGCGAAGGAGGTTGATCATCACCTGAAGGTGCTGCGGCAAATCACCTGTGGATGCACAGGCAGCAAAATCATCAGGTGCATCTCCTAGATCTGCTTTGGTGCATCAACTAACCAAGCTCTCCCCCCTCCATCCACCCCTGGTCACTGGCATGGCCCAGTCCCTTGTGTTTCTCAACCCTGGCAGCTCGGAGGTGGATGGACTTCAACGGCAGCTGGGTGAGGAATTCTGGGAGTTGAAGTCCACCCACCTGAAAGTTGTCTGAGGCTGATGATCTCCCATGACTCCCAGGAGAAGATTAAGAGTCATCAAGCTCTCTTGCTTTCTCTCTGAATCTCTCTGAAGCCTCCTTAACAAGCCATCATTCCGCTTCCCAGGAACCTCCTGAAGGCCAACCAGAGATTTAGGACAGCAGCAGAGGTCCTTGGACCCCAGGCAGGAAGGCTGCCAAACCCTTCTCCAGAACGGGCAACAGAAGGTATGGACTTCGCTGCCTTTTCTTCCCACCTGGATGTCCTTCCTGCAGAGGGTGCTAGTTGACCGAAGGCTAGTGCTGGCCCTCGCTCGCTTGCTTGGGCCCACATCCAGACCCGATTTGGAACTGTCTCACACACACACACACACCCCGTATCCCCAAGATGTCTCTGGACTTGGCAATTCCCAAACAGTCCCACCTCCATCTCACCAACCACAATGGACCGCCTGGCTGCCCTCCGAGAGGCCTTGTCTCCACCCTCCAGAGGCCCTGAGCAAAACAAGCTTCTTCCGGCAAGAACGGCCAAGCTGAGCGCAGAAGCTTAGCCCCCTGTGGTACGGCAGCCCATCCTCCGATCTCCTCCTTCCCCTTGGCACCACCGAGGGGAAACCCATCGATGCCCTTTGGTGCCCAGGGCTCCCGCCCTCACGTACCACCCCCTTTCTCCTGGCTTTTCCAAAGCAGTTCTACTTGCGTTACCTGGAGAGGCCAGGAGGACGTTACCTGCATGTTTGTGAGGCTGCAGGAGACTCCGGGGTGGCCCTTGCGGACTGTTTCCTTGCTGCAGGAACAACGCAGCTCCTTTGACCATAAAAAAGCTCTCGCTTAAACTGCAACACAAACAGGCAGAGCCGCCGGTCAGGCAGGGAGAGGCAGGGAAGCCTGTCCGTGCAGACAGACGGACTCCCGGGGAGCAACGTCAAGCTTTCTGGGAAGGAAAAGTGGCCTCAATCTCATTGCCTCCAAAGACGAGACTTTTCTTGGACACAATGCGTGGCTGCCTTTCTCTGAAAGGGTGTTGTTGTTTTTTTAAATTCCTAGTCTAGTCTCTTCTTTGCTGACAGTCTCCCCTCCGTGTATTAACCGGGCAAGTCCCTGCTTAGCTTTCTCCACAAGCAGCTACATCTAGGGTGGGCAAGTGGAACCAGGTAATCCCACCACCCGCCTGGATCCAGCTGGGAAAGGGAGCAGCCCGTCTGTCAGACTGAACGAGATGCAATCCTTGCTCCAGCTTGTGCCTATCACAGGCATCGCAAACCAAGGACAGATTTACTTTCTGTTTTTTGTTTTTTCCCCCAGTTTAAAGGCTACAAAACCAATAAATGGTAACGTGATCTCCAAACAGAGTAATCTTTCCTTCTCCCTGGTCATGCTCCCCCCTCTCTTGGTCCAGGAGCCAGTGGCTCATCCTTTCAGAGGTCCTGGTAAAGTTAGGAGACAATTAGTGGGACCAAAGGAGGGTGCCTGATTGCTTCCATACACTGGAGGCCTTGTTCCCGAGCCAAAAGCCAGCGGCACCCAGCCAAGCTTTAAGTGAATGGCTTAAGTGCTTGTCGCGGGGGGGGGGGTGGACAAGGAGGCTTCACTGCTGGCAAATGGTTTTAGAAAAGTGGCCGGGTTCCCGTCAGAAGCAGGCTGTGTAATTTTCCATCGGGGTTAGATGTTGGTCTGCTTCAGGAGGCGTGCCGACAAGAGTTTTGGAGGAAAAAAGATAACAGCCTTCAAGCAGAGTGGCCTCATGACCCTTTCCGATTCCACAAGGAATACTTGCTAATATGGTTTTTAGAAAACTTTTTCCCTTTCAGCACATTCAGCTCCATTTTCACGTGGGGATTTATAAAGAGCCTTCTAGATTGGGCTTGGAGGTGGGAAGATGTTGGCTCCAACATCTGGAGCATTCGCTAAAACAGGGGTCTCCAACCTTGGCCACTTTAAGACTTGTGGACTTCAACTCCCAGAATTCCTCAGCCAGTTCTGGAAGTTGAAGTCCACAAGTCTTAAAGTGGCCAAGGTTGAAGACCCCTGCAGTAGAAATTTCTCCCCAACCAACTCCATGAGAATGGGCTTCTCTGCTATGTTTTCTAAGCTGTCCCCCAAAAAACTGCATGCAGTGGAGCCATTCCACCTTTTAAAGGTTATAGAAACACTGTTTTAGTCCAGGACAGGAAACCGGTCCACCTCATGAAGACTGAGAGCAACAAAGAACGATCTGGAGAGGATTTCTCCAATTCTTTAAAGCAGGGGCGTCCAAGCCTAGCAACTTTAAGACTGGAGAACTTTAACTCCCAGAATTCCCCAGCCAGCATGAGGGTCTGGATTTTCACTTCCATTCAAATATGGTCAGTCTACCGTCTTTGGAGGCCAACCTAGCAATAAGTCTATTTTACAGAGAAAGAACTAAGGCAAAATGCACAATTTGCCTATGAAACATTCCAAATCTGACAGTACAGTACTAGCAAAGGAGGATATTCCACGCTCACCTGATTAAACACGTGCAGCGTGGGCTGCAGAAAGGTCTCACCCACTCACCCACCCACCCACCCAAGAAGCTGCTACTCCCACCTGACGTGACCAGCTGAATCTGTGCGAGATCCCATCAAGTCTGCATTTCACCGGACAATAAAATCCAGCCAAAGGCTGGCTGCTAGTTGACCAAGCCTTTTATCTGATTAAGAGTCCTGAACATCAAATGTCAAGTGGGACCTGATTCACAGCCCCAGGCTGGAAAAAAAAGTCAGAATGGACATTGGGGTCAAAGTACAATGAGCAACACTGATGGAAAGTCCGAGAAAACACGCAAAGGGTTTGCAAAGTCTGACAGGACACCTTTCCCGACATTTCCTGCCATTCGGAGAACAACAACGGCGCACAATTCCTGTTTATGATCAAAGGGAGAGAAATGACTAACTGCCCATAATCCTGACCACACGGCACAATCAGGCTCAAGTGAGATCATCCCAGAGCCATCAACTCAACCGAAGAAAAGCCCACGGCGACAGCTTCCTTCGGTGGCCAAGTATTCAAGCAATCGGACAAAGGATTCGTCAAAGATCTGTTAGCAACAAGAAATGTAAGAAAAGGGACGTACGCTCCCTGTCCTTCAGTGGTGACCTCAGCGATCTCCAAAACATGAGTCCAGCCCCACATTTGGCCTTAAGTCCGATCAAGAGAAAACCAACCACTAAAACCAGCTTTGTATATCTGTCGGTTTGTAGACAGCAGCCTAACCCAACCATTTCTGCAGCTGAACTCCCTCCAGCTCAGTTGAAGCTTGGAGCAAACCTGTCTTGAGATGCCTTCATGGAAGAACGCAACACACCCACCACGAATGAAGCCTTGAGACCCTCTGAAGGTCTCGGCCTCCAGCAGAGCAGGAAGGATGGGGGGCATACGTACGGCTTGGGTTTCTTTAAGCAGCCGAAACATCGCGTGGCCCCAAAGGACAGGCAGAAGGTAGCAAAGTCAGAAAGGCTCATAACCAAGTCTTCAAGTCATCGTGCTGAGCTTCTCAACATGCCTTGGTGGGAACGAAAAAGCCAAGCAATCCTTCGGCGCGGAGGAGGGACTCTCCACGTCTCTTGGGAATGGAGGACTTTTATGGAGCTGTGCCCCCCCCCCTGATATCTTCTTGGCCCCAAACAAGCGCAAGGACCTGCCCTCGTCCACCCCGATGAAAGAGGTCTTTCAAAAGGAAAGGGGGACCAAGCAATGCTGGCGAGATCCCTCCTCCCCTCCCACAGCCTTTGCTCGCTGGCCAGCTCCGTGAAGCTGCTCCATTAGCAGGACGGATCCTCTTGGCTGTCCTTGGGAGAGGGAAAGGGGTCACAGCCTGATGGACGAAGGGCTGGCATTCCTCACCGCCCACAACAGGACTCGCACGAGGTCCTGGGAGAGTAAGGCCGTCTCTGGGGAATCTGATCGGGGTCCAATTTCACTGGGCAGCACTTGAGAAGCAGACGGATGGAGGCGAGACAGCTTGGAAACCAACTACCCTGCGAGACTTTTCCATGGAAAATAAAGGCCTTCCTGGGTCTCCTGAGCTCCATGCCTGGCGAGGATGGTGGCCATCGTTATCCCAGGGCATCAGAAGGGCAGAGGGGTGAAATCTGGGTCATGAATTATTCAGGACTCACGACTGTCCAACCAAATGTTTACTGGGGGACAGTAAATGCTGGTGTGGGAGGAGAAATCGAGACCCCGCAAAGCAGGTTTTGCTCCTCCCATAGATTTATATCTATGGAAACACTCAGGAGGGAGGGAAGAGAATGGAAAACGGGGTCCCTAAAGTGCTTCGGTACTCTCTGAAATACACTCACACGTCTAGGGAGTAGCCAATGAGCTTAGAGCAGAAGAGAGCAACGTACTAGTTCCATTTCTCTCCGTCCATTTCAGACTAAGGTGGAGATGAGCCAAGCGCTTCTCCGGTCCCTCAGCCCTTTGGGGAGAAGCTCCCAGGGCCTCCTTCCCAGCCGAGGAAGCAAGGAAAGCCGTATCGAACGGGAGCCTTAGAGGGAAATGAAGGCATGGGAATGGAACCGCAGAGCCGGCTCTCAACCCCGTAGAGCCAGCCAAAGGCCCAACTGGGATATCTCAGAGGCTTAAGGCCGGTTTGTGGTTGAGTGTCTGCTTCTTTCAGAAAAAGTGGGGGGGGGTTGTTCTAAGGTGGATAGGGAGTGGGGGGAGGCCACGTTCTGGACATCCCACCTCCAGGTTTCCAGACCCTGCTCTTCTTAGGGGCTCCAACTTTCAGTGCCGAGACCCTGTCCAGCTTTGAGGCCGTCCAAACTTCTCTCTCCCCAAAGAAAAAACAGAGTTTTCAACGTGGCGATTCTATGACTCCAGATCCCAACATTTAAAGAACGGACACCTCCGCTTCACCTACAGCCCCCTGTCCCTAACCCTTCCCTTGGACCTTCCCCTTCCGGGGCTCCCCCTGCCAAGGGCCTGGCGCAAGGACGGCCAGACATGAGTCAATCCGTAACGAAGAGTTGATGCGTGGCCAGGATGTGTGGGAAGAGAAGAAAGCCACCCGGTTCGGAGGGGACGCCTCTCCAGGAAAGAAACCCTCTGCAAGGGCCACCTCTCAAGGGGCCCCGCGTGGCTTTTCCAGGAGCAATTCAACCGGCCTGGCTCAGGAACTCTGTTCTGCTCTGGGAAGGTCCAACCTTTGGCCGGCCCTCCAAAGAGGCTTGAAGCAACCCGGAGGGCCCTGGAGGAGCCGAGCGGCTGGGCCGTCTCCTGGTCCCCTTCTGGAGGCATCGTTGGTCCCAGGGGAAACCCAACCCCCACCCTGCCTCTTGGCCGCATGGCCAGAAGGGCCGGAGGAGGGGTGAGCTTGGGGGCTGGGGAGCCTCGCTGCTCCCCGTGTGTCTGCAGAGCTGCACCAACAAAAGCTCTTTGTGAAGGGGGCCATTGTGCAGCGGCTGAGGCAGGCGTGGGCCGGCTTCGCTGCCAGGAATTCCAAGCCGCGTTTCCAGAGGCCTCAGGTCACTCGCGGCAGCGCTGATGCAGAGCCTCTTTTGGGGTAAGGCTGGGGGGGTGAAGAAATCTTTCGGGGTTTATCCCCATTCTAAGCCTTGCGGGGCCAGGCCTGTCCAAGGGGACTGGGCAGAGGGAGGCGGCTGTGTTGGGACCAGTCCAGGGGAAGGGGAGGAGGTGGGCTCGGTCCCCCGTTTCCCATCATGCAACGGGCTTGGGAAAGGAAACACAGAGGAGTCCTTTTCCAGGAGGGCCATTGCGATGCAAGCAGGGACCCCCAAGCACCCTCGGGAGAAAAGCCTTGCCGATAGCGAAGGCGAGCGGGAGGGGAGAGCCAACCCTCCCCCCACCCAGCAGAGACCCTGCCGTGAAATAAGAACACGAGGGAGCAGAGCTCAACCCTTCTGCCTTTGCAGCCGAGGGTCCGGCGGGCCTCAGCGCCTGATTCCAAGGGTCAATCTGGATCCTGAGAGAGCCAAGTGGCCTGGGACTGGGAGCCTGGACAAGGGGTGCTAAAGTAGTCCATTTGCAGCCCAGTTCAGCCTCAGAGGGCAGGACTCACTTCTTAAGCCCCCATAGTTACCTTGAGGGCAGGTGTTTCTGCCTCTACCTGTGCCGGCTGGCTGGCTGGTCCCACAGACCAGGAAATCCCCCCATGCCAAGACCCAGGCAAGGAGGTCTGGGGGAGGGGCTCACCCACCCTCTCTCCTCCATCCGCCTGGGCCTTTCGCAGCTCACCCACCGCCCTGCTGCGATCCAGATTAAACCGGCCAAAAACACGATGCAGCCTGCAGAATTCGCCCCATGAGAGAGGGAGGGAGATCCACCAGGAGACGAACCCCCGAGATCTTTGGGGGAACCAGGTTCCACTCCAGGGGGCGCAAGTGCAGGCCGAGCTCCCCAAGGGCTTGGAGGGGGAGGAGGGCTGCTGGGCCTTCCCTCAAGGGGTCACTGGGGACAGGGGCTGGAGATCCTGCACGGCCACTCCAGGGGCTCCCAGCGGTCATCGTCTGGCCGGTGAAGTTAGCGAGGGACCCTGCTGGAGGGGGAAGCTGCGGACTCTTCCCACTGGCTCAAAAACAGGAAGCTGACTCACATCCTGGCCAGGTTGCAGGGTTGTGGCTTCACCACAGCAAGGAGGCACCTCGGTGGCCCGGGGGGAGCTTGGCCTGGGAACCAGCTGGCCACACAGATGTGGGGCTAGTGGGAAGCGCTCAGAAACCGGGGACAACATGTGGGCAGGAAAGCTCTCGTGCTCGGGGTCAGGACCCCAAACAAGGTTTGGGCTGGGCAATTGGGGGGGGGGGGACAGGAACCCCCAGCGAGGCTTTCTCTGCAGTGGAACCTTCTCCTTCTGGCGTCCTTTGGACATTATTTTAATCCTGCTTCTTGCACTGTTTTACTCCCTGTTTAGGATAAGCCTTGCCGCTCTGGATGGGACTAAGGAACCAGCGTTTATGGACAACGGCCGGCTTATTCTCCCACGTCATATCCTGGGAGGGAGGTTTGCTTTGGGGCCGGCAATGTGAGCGGTGGGCTTGCAAAGCGGCCGGTTTGCAAAGCGCTTCCTGTTGGGTCAGCCTGGCCGTTCCAGGGCAGGTCACTTCAGTCCCTGCAAAAACCTGGACGAAATGGTGTCACCCAAAACCCAAACTGGCCGGCAGAGGTGGAATGAGAGCGCCCTCCACGGACCAAAAGGGGCAATAACACCCCCATCTGCCCTTCAGCCTTTGGCTTAAGAGCAACGGCTGGCTGGCATTGCAGCCTCAGTGCCAGGCAGGACACCTCTGTTCCCGATGGACGGAAGCTCTGAAGAGGGACCAGCGGCTTCTACCAGCTCCATGGAAGCGCAGATGCCACCTGGCTGGCACCCCCAGCCGGCAGCCAGTGCCAGTCTGTTGCCCCCTGGCAGAGATGCCCTGTTTGGTCAGCTGATCTTTGAATGGTGGTCAGCAGGAGAGCGCTGGTGAGGAGACAGGACTCACTGCGATGGGGCAACGTTGGCGCCCCCTCCCCAAGGCTTCACCCCACCTACAAGATCATAGTTTAGCCTCCTGGACAGCCTGCCTGATTGTGAGGAACGTCGGAGCCCTGAAATCCCCTGCTTCCCCCCCCCCCCCCCCCCGGGAATTCACCTGAAGTCCTTTTCGTGCTGTTCCACTTCGGGGCAGTTTTTAAAGTATGAATAAAACCATTGCAATTCCATACAGGCTATGATAGCCCCACCATCACAGACAAACCCCCGAGATGGTAAAAATAGTACAGAATAGCCAACAAGGTTCAAACTGTATCTCCCAAATGCGGGAAGATTTTTTTAAAAAAAGGAACTTGATCGTCCTTCTGAAAACGCCATTCTTTTCCACGGAGTTTCCTGCCCCCCAGGCCCTGGGCACGTGGCCTTAGCACAGAATCTGAGCACGCGGGGAGTGCTAATCCAGCACCCCCATGGACTGCCGCACGTCTAAACGTGAGCTCACCCAGTTATTGGAGACCCCGGTGGCTGTGTTTGAAGCAGCATCCCCGGCCCCCCGAGGTTTACAAGGAAGACGTGGCGATAGCTGGCTAACCCCTGCGTGTGGCACTCTCCCAGTTCCCCAGGAGTGAAAAAAAACTCCGCCTACGTCGTAGCAAGAATGGTCTGTGCCTACCTCAGGTTGAGTTTGCGTTCCTCATCGCTGCCAACGTCCAGCTGCTGGGGGGGGGGGGAAGCAAGAATTAAACCTCAGTCACCCTTCCCAAGAGCTGCAAGGAAAGACGTACTTATGGCGGCCCACCTACCTTCTGAGGGCTTGGAGGAACACAAGGGCTCCTCCTGGGGCATCTGAAGGCCCCTGGAAAGTAGGGTAGGCAGATGGGGCCTCTTAAGGCCCTCCGGCGGGATGTAATGGTGTCTGCTACCAACCTTGCTCCCTTGCTCAGCCAGGTGCCCTCCGGCTAAAGGGGCCCTCATCTCCCATCATCCCCAGCCACATTGGCAATGCTGGGAAGGGCCGGCCTATCTCGCTCTCCGCTCCTGTGGTGGTCATTTCCCCATGCATGAAGAATCTTTGGGGGGGGCTCCTGTCTGTCTCCCAGGTTTATCTCTCCCTTCCGCTCCTTGGCTCTTAGGCGGTGCGGAGGGTGATGCCAACCGTGCCCCCCTCGCCTCTTGGGGCTCCCTGGATCCTCCTCCTTTGGGGATAAAAGAACTTGGCAGAGAAAGTCCCAGGGAGGTGAAGGTTGCCAGGTTTGGGCTGTGAGGAAGAAGATCTGGGAGCAAAGGCACCAGAGGGGTTGGAAATAAAGGTGGGGGATGCCCCCCCCCCCCCAGCAAAGCTGGCCCACCCCTCACCCCTTCCCAGCCCCACCGGATTTTAATCCCAACTTTCCCAAGAGGATGAACGGGAGCCGTGGGGAACAGAGCCCCCCCCCCCCTGCCCCGCCCCCCCCCCCCCCCACCCCCGGAGATGGCAGGGGGGCCAGTAGACCCCCTCTAGAGCCCCCCCCTCATTTCAAGGCAGGCCAAACCCCGCTGGGTCTCTCGTTTGGGCGGACGTCCCCGGGGCAGATCTTGCCCCCCCCCCCCCAGCTCCAAGGCTGCCCCCCAAGGCCTCCTCCCCGCGGGGCTTTCCCGTGGGACCCGGAGCCCCTTAAAGGGGCGGCTGCCCGGCGGGGGAGGAAGGCGGGCGGGGGTCCCGGGCGAGCCGGCGGGGGCGTCCGCGGGGCTCTCACCTCGCTGGCGCTGGCCGAGGAGGAGGCGGCGCTGGGCGTGGGCGAGCGCTGCAGGGTGACCAGCGCCATGGCCGGAGCGGCGGCGGCGGCGGCGGAGCGCGGGCGGCAGCCAGGCCGGCCGGGGAGGAGCCTGCCGGGCGGCGGAGGAAGCCGCCTCGCGCCCGGGGGCCGCCGGAAAGGGCTCGCCCCGCACCCGCCGCCCAGGAGGAGGAGGAGCAGCGGGCAGCCCCGGCCGGTCCTGCCGCCGAGGGCCCCGGCGCTGGCCGCGCATCGCTCCCGAAGGAAGGAAGGAAGGAAGGAAGGATTAGAGAAGGGAAAGGAAGGAAGGAAGGAAGGAAGGAAAGGAGGAAGAAGGAAAGGAGGGAAAGGAGGAAGGATTAGAGAAGGAAAGGAGGAAGGAAGGAAGGAAGGAAGGAAGGAAGGAAGGAAGGAAGGAAAGATTAGAGGAGGAAAGGAGATGAAGAAGAAAGGGGAAGGAGGAAGGAAGGAAAGGAGAAGGGAAAGGAGGGAAAGAAGGAAGGAAGGAAGGACAGAAAGGAGGAAGAAGGAAAGAAGGGAAAGGAGAAAGGAAGGATTAGAGAAGGAAAGGAGGAAGGAAGGAAGGAAGGATTAGAGGAGGTAAGGAGATGAAGAAGAGAAGGGGAAGGAGGGAAGGAGGAAGGAAGAGATGGAAAGGAAGGAAGGCCCCAAAGGGCTTATTTCCCGGTTGGTTTTAGGAGAAACGCCCCCCCCCCCCCCCAATGCTTGGGGTGATGGGTCGGAGGCCAGGCGACTGGTCCCCCCTTTCCAGGGTGCTGGCAGCTGCCTAAATCCTTGGCTGCAGGGAAAAGAGTCCCTGCGATTCTCCCCTGTGGGGATTGATCCCCCCTCCCTGTGCAGAGGCTCTTGCGAAAGAGAGGGGAAAGAGGATTCCAGGTCTCACAGGCAGCCCCCCACCTCCAGAAGGCGGCCCCACAGCGGGGTAAGGAAATAACTGATAATAGTGCCCATAATCCACAGTACGGCAGTGAGACCTCTGGCTCCGGATTGCAATTGAAGCCTCTCTTCTCTGGAGCCACGAGAGACACGGGGAGAATCTTGTGGGAATTTTCCCAGATGCGAATGAGGTGCAGATGAGAAGTTGGGGGGGAATAAGCAGCGGGGATAATTATTGGGGATTATTCACTAGACATGGGACATTGATTCAAGATTTGTAGAAGGAAATTGACCAGATTGTATGGACGGGGGGGGGGGGGGGGGGGGGGGAAGAAACGTTCGCTCGATAAGGAAGCCCGATCCATTCTGTCTTGGTTTTGGGGTGTCCCAGCAGATCTTTCTAGAAGAATTCTTCGTTTTGTCTTGCGGTTGTAAACCCAGGTGCTCTGGACAGGACAGAAGGAAGTTAGCTGAGTTCCAAAAACGTCGGCCCAGCTCAGCTCAAAGAGTCCAGAGACGGTCCCCTCAGACCAACCTGGATGGTGCCAGGTAAGAAGTTGGCTCCTTGGGTGTGTGTTGAAGACGCTTCTTTCGTGCAGAGAACGTCCAAAAGGAAGCAGATCCTCCCTGGGCTGGACGCCAGAGGTCACTCCTGATCAGGAAAGCCGAGTCTGGCGCTCTGAGTGACGCCTTGCTTCTCCCTGCCCCCCAAAAAGGTTTCTTGGCATAGGAGAAACCTGAGCTCCACCTGATGGACTCATTAACCTGCCGGAGGGACCTTTGCCCAACGCATCAGCCCGTTCGCAGCTTCCTTCCTGCCAGGAGCTGCACCGTGTTGGGCAAACAGCAGAAGACTTTCCTGGGCCTTTGGATTGTCCCGGTGAGAAGTCCTGTCTCTCGCTTGGCTTCTTTGGAGTTGTGAGAACGAAATTAGGACAAAGGGGTTCGGAGGGGGCAGTATCTTCCTGGCGCAGGGGGGGTTGTGGCGTTGCAGAAAATAGACGGTGGAGGTTTAGCAGAGGGAGGGGCTGGCCTGCCGGACTGGGAGAAGAGGCGAAACTCTTTGGCTGAGATTGGTCAAAATCTAGCTTTTTTCCCCCCCCAAGAGAGGCTTGGCAGCTTTTAAAAGGTTTTCAGTCTTTTGCATTTATTGCCAATCGTTACGGAAAGAGGAGGTGTTAAGGGGGGGGTGAAAAACTCCAGGGGGGGGTCTTCCTCCCCCTGAAAGCTTAGAGCAGGAGGGGGCAACCTGCTGTGTCCAGGAGGAATGGCCCCAACCCAAAATTGTCCCGCCTGGCCTGGGACACCAGGACCTCCCTGGAGGGAATGTGATTTGCAGCAGTTGTGGGGGGGGGGGGGGGTCTGGAGAAGTCCGAGGGGCAAAGAAACACCCAGGACCCACCCCCAGGAGAGAAAACTCCGTTGCTTTTTCTTTGGGGCGGGTTATTTTGAGGGGGTGCAAGATGGTCTCCCTTTTGGCCCCTTCCAGACTCTCCCATGCGGGTTGCCGTGATCGGAGCCGGGGTGATGGGTCTGTCCGCAGCCCTTTGCATCCATGACCGATATAGCTCCCTTGACCAGCCGCTGCAGCTGGAGATTTACGCGGATGAATTCTGCCCCGGCACGACCAGCAGTGGGGCTGCCGGCCTTTGGCAGCCCTACCTGGACGACAAAGGAAACACGCAGGAAACGTAAGAGCAAACGCTCAGCTCCCCTGGCGAGGGCCGCTTGGGCGCCTCCTGCGCCTCTCAGGGGACCAGAGGGCTGGAGCCCACCCACCTTCCACCAGGCTGGCTAAGGAACTCTGGGAGTTGAAGTCCACCCATCTGCAAGGGGCAGAGGGTCAAACCCCTTTGGTTTTTCAGGGATGCCTCGGTGAAAAGTAAAGTGTTCAGTGGGTTAAATGTAAATGCAAACTGATAAACTAGGTAATTTATATTTATATTTAAATTTATAATTAATCTGCTGGTGGAGGAAGATCTGTGCCAACATTCCTCCTCTAAAACCGTTGCCCCAAATACGTCTGAGCTGTGGCTTTCTGCAACCTTTCTACCTGCCCACAGTTTTTCTCTTGCAATTCCTTCGAGTTCAAATTGGAAGGAAGATGCCCGATCCTCTCTTACTTAATACTGCAGGATCTGGAACAAGGAGACTTTTGATTATCTGCTCCGACATGTTGATTCCCCAGAAGCCAAGGAGATGGGGCTGTTTATGATCTCTGGATACAACCTCTTCACACGGCCGGTTCCCGTAAGTGGTTGGCTTAAAGACGCCTGAGCTCTTTCCGCAATTCAAGCTGGTTCCTCTTTGGAAGGCTGGAGCAAAGTATGAAGACGGTGCTGCGAGACTCACCAGGAGTTTTGCTTTTGAGGATTTCTCAGCCCGCTTCCATCCCTCTTTGTAATCCAAGAGGTTTCCAACCGGCGGGAAAATAAATTCAGGAGCGTTGCAGGCAGAGAGTTCTCGATGGTGGGGCCACATTGCCGAGACTTCTGGCTCAACACTCATTTATTTTGCATTTCAGCAAGGTTCTACTTCTCCCTTGTCTTACCTCGGTGTCTTTCTCTGCAGGATCCATCATGGAAACATATTGTCTTGGGGTTCAGGAAACTGACCCAGAAGGAGCTTGATCTCTTCCCCGGCTACAGGTATTCAGCGGCCTCTTTGGCCTTGGACTCAGGAACTGTTGTAGAGATGCGTTTCTAAACCTTGGCCGCTCGAAGATGGGTGGACTTCAACTCTCAGAATTTGTATTTATATATGTATATATATTGTTCTTCTTTCCCCCTAATTTCAGCTACGGCTGGTTCAACACGGCCCTGATCTTGGAGGGCAAAAGTTATCTCACCTGGCTCACAAACCAGTATGTATGGCTCTTCTTTTTCTTGCTGCCCCCATTTGGAAAGTCTTGAGTTTTAGGTCGTTCGGATTTTATTCTCATGGGGCAGAGCAGGTGGCTGGGAAAGCTGGTTTGGGGCCTTGGATTAAACCTTTCATCCATTTGGTGGCCTTGAAAGATAAATTGGAACCCTTGTCATCCGGCTAATAATGACTGGCTAGCCTCAACCTTCCACAGTCAGGGGTGTTAATATCTTGGAAAAACTAGTTGTGGGTGGAGAAAAGGTAGGAGGACAGTTGCCGCCAAGCCCTGCTGTCCCGCTTAGCCTCTCCCCCCAAACCCCGCAGGCATGTCTGTCAAACTCTTCTGCTGACAACCCTCCATTGCTCTTAAAAGGTTGACCTCGCGGAAGGTCCAGTTCTTCCACCGGAAAATCAAGTCCTTCCAAGAGGTGAGCTGGGATGTATGTAGAGCTGGCTGAGAATGGTGGGAGTTAGAACACCTGGAGGGCACCAAGTGGGGGTGGTCACTCTAGGCCAGAGTTTCTCAACCTGGGCAACTCGGAGAGGTATGGACTTCAGTCTGAGAAGCGCCACTCTGGACAGGCGGGGCGGGGGGTGTCTTCTATCTCTGCAAGGCAAGATGGGGAATTAATCCACTTACTCTCTTCTGTTAGCTGACCGCTGAAGGGGTGGACGTTGTGGTCAACTGTACTGGGGTTCGTGCTGGAGAGCTACAGACTGACCCTGAGCTGTGTCCAGGCCGAGGACAGATCATCAAGGTGAGGCCTGGGGGGAGGGGGGGTGGTCAACAGGGCTGGTGGAGGCAAGCTGTGACATAGTCTAGTGGGACAGCACACTTGGACATCGGCCGTGGAGGAAGGCTGCTCTGAACCTTCACAGAAGGCCCTCAACGCTAGAGACAAGCGGGGGGGGAGAGGCCGGTGTTGTTTGCCGGACAGAGGTGGGCAGTTGTTTAAATAAATAAATATAGTCTTCTTTGGGACCCGTTGCTTGTCACCACGAACCAGGAGAGAGCAGAGCGATTGCTTCTTTGGGCCGTGCATTGGCAGGCTGCACCGGGGCTCAACCCGGCTTCTTCCTGACCTTCGTGCTTATTCTGGACCTCTAGGTTGAGGCCCCCTGGGTGAAACACTTCATCATCACCCATGACGTTGACTCTGGGATCTACAGGGAGCCCTACATCATCCCCGGGTGAGGAATAGGCGGTGCGGAGTGGCGGAAGCGTCAAGGTGGATCCAATTAACCTGGAAGTTGACCATAGTCAAGAGATGTTCCAGCTGCATCTCCTGGGATCAAGTCTTCTTCCTACTGGAATCCAGTGATCCAGTATTCTTAAGATCGAAGGGAGATCCCCCCCCCATAACCTTCCCTGAGAAGGGAACACCGTTTGGCCCCCAGCTTCCTCTGACTTGGTGACTTCTAGGGGGCAGCACTCTGACCGTGCTGGTTCAGCAGGATGAGAGCTGTAACCCAACCCACCTGGAGGACCACAGGCTGAGGAAGGGGCTCCATCCTGAAGGTGGGAGGAAGCCCTGATTTCAAGTCGTTCGGGACTGACTGCTCCTCCCTCCCCCCTCTGTTCTTCGCAGGAGCCGCACGGTGACCTTGGGGGGGATATTTCAGCTGGGGAACTGGAGTACAGAGAACAGCCCAGAGGACCGTAGAAAAATCTGGCAAGGATGCTGCAAGTTGATGCCCAGCCTCCAGGTAGATCCGCTCAGCCAAGACGGGCCAAGGCTCTTGCGAGGAACGCTTGGCATTCTCCCCATTTCCCTTGGCCCAGAAGGAAGCCCCCGTGGCAGCCCCATAGCCCGCGGAAGCATCGGGGCCTGAGCATAAACCACCAGATGTACTTCTTCCAGGAAGCCAAGGTAGTCGAGGAATGGAGTGGCTTACGCCCAACGCGCCCTAAAGTCCGGCTGGAACACCAGACCCTTCGTCAGGGGACGCTCCAAACAGAGGTAGCCGTTTTTCTGAATGAAAAGGATCCCAGGAGATCTTGTAGATCATCTGCTTCTGTGCTTCGAAGGTCCCGTTTTTTTCTCTTTCAGGTGATTCACAATTACGGCCACGGAGGTTTTGGGCTCACCATTCACTGGGGGTGTGCCATGGAAGCAGCCAAACTCTTTGGGAAGATCCTCAAAAGCCAGAAGCTGACCAAGCCACCTCGGGCAAATCTTTGAACAAGCGCAAAGGTGTAGAAAACCCTTCTGCGTAGGTCTGTTTTTTTTTTCTTCCTTCCATCTCACAAAGGGGAGCTAATCTTGTCAAATTTGGGGGTCCGGTTCCTTAAGAATATTTGTAACTGGGCTCCCCACTTTGGCTGTGTGTACAGAGTGCATAAGACTGCTGTTTGGGGTTGGGGAGGTGTTCCAAGATTTGTGAAGCCGTTCTTCCCTCTTTTCTTCCATCTTGATTTGGGTTTTTGGTACCCCCAAAATGTCCTAAATGTTGATGGAACAACATGGGAAGCTGCAGGTGGAAAATGTGTAACCTCAACAATTGCACAGATTCCCAAACCTAACTACAGATCATAAACCTCAAATTTTCCTCCTGGATGCTGGGTTTGATTCCTAGGGAGCAGATGAACAAATGTGTTCAAGCAGAAGGCAAACAATCATCTGAAAAAAAAATTATTTTTTATTCTTTCTCCAGACTGGTCCCGTCTGCTCTGTGGGTACAACTTTCTCTTACCGCTTTTTCTTCTCAAATACCAACTACATCTGCTTCCCGATCCATATTCTTTTTGCTTCTGGTTTCTAATGGAGTTATCCTGTGAAAACTTACAAAATACTTTGAAAGCAGGTTTGACTGAGCCTTGATTTGTGTTTACTTGTTACTTTCTTAGGTAACCTCCTTTTCATCGCTTAAAAGTTTGTGTGGGTCAACTCCAGTAAGCTCAGAGAGAGATTGTCCATCTGAATAAATCGGGGTGAATTCGGCGGTGTCCAACCCTGGCAACTTGGAAGACCTGAGGCCTTGCTGGCTGGGGAATTCAAGTCCATGAGTTTTCAAGTGGCCAAGGTTGGACACCCCTGGGGCTTACTGCTGAGCTGGTCAAAACCTGATGCATCCAAATACAGCAGTTGAAGAGGTCTCCAGGGATGCATTGCAAGTAGTAGCTATCCAGGTGAGGACCTTCCCTTGCAGCTTAGAGGGAAGTGATCTCCACCAGCAGCAGCAGAGCCAGGTGGAGAAGGAGCATCCCGGATGCTGACTGATCAAGCAGGAGGCTTCTTCCCTTGTTCTGAGCAGCTCCAGGACAAAGACACCAGGGACATCTCCAGCTGCTTCTCACCAATTCTAGTTTTTCATTCTGGACTTTGCAGCTCCGGCTGCAACTTTCCAGAAAAGAACAGGGAAGACTCTCCCGGAGGGCACTGGAGCTGGGGTGAGTTTTCAGCCTGATGGTGGACACAATTCCTCCTTTTGAGGGAGTGAGAATGCCATAATTCTCCTCCGTATGAAAAACTACTCATTTATTCAACATAAGATATCCAGTATGGAATTGCACTTCCTAATGGTGTGTAATTAACAGAGACAGATGAAAATATAGTATACAAGAAGCTCAGGATACAGAAATCTTGAGAACACGCGTCACAGTTGGAAACTGTACATTCGAACATAGCAGACACTTAAATAATACCCTTCTGACCCAAACACTGAAAAATACAAATACCATTCTACACAGCATATACAGCAATCTCTGCCCAAAGCTTTGCCAGTTAAAGAACTGGAGAACCCACAGAGTCCCAAACACCACAACTGAATGTCAAGTGGCATTGTTGCTTCTTTTTTTTAATGAACACACCAATAGACCTCGATGTGTTTAGAGCCCTATCTTCATTACATACGTTGGTGAATTTCTGGTATTAAAATGCTCCTCGAATATGAGAAGGCCAAAACTTATTGTCAGAAAGGGGGGAAAAAGGGACAGCGCAGATTTTCAGCTCAACAATCGGAAGCTTGCAAAATCGGTTTGCATCGTCAGAGGAAAATCTAATCAATTTAATTTTTGGACACACAAGGAATGAACCCATCTTAGTAGAAGCCACTTAGCCCTAAACATGTTAGAAGTTGCCTGCATGAGCCTCTGGCACACATGCGCACACACACATAGCTATAAAAGTGCAGCTTCCTTAAATACCACCTGAGGCTTCCCAGTCCAGACGATGTTTTTCACCTTAGCTGAGCCAGTCAAAGACCGCTAGGCGTGACGGGTAAGACATGCCTCTGAACAGATGGAGAAATGAGGAGGAATGTCCAGAAAGGGCCCCCGTTTTCTGCCTGTGAACCTTTGGCATTTGTGGGGTGCCCAGTGACAGAAAGAGGACGGTTAAGCTGGATGCCTCTGGATCACCACCACTGGGGCATGTACCCATTCTTAGGCCTCTCTGTTGGGGAACGTAGAGATGAACCCAAAGGAACCTTCACCATTATGAGTTGCATGAAGAAGTGATCTAGTTTGACCAGACAGAATCTGTTCCCTTTCATTTTACTGGATGAACCTCATATTCAAGAGATAATTTTTTCCTGTAGTGACCTCGCCATGCATCATTTGCTAACCTTACAGATGTTTTCCCCTCTAGCTGCCTGCTGAGAAAAACACTTCAGTCTTTGGGTCACCTGGGTGGATGTTTCCTTGGGCACAACCTTCCTTTGGAGACAGGGCAATCATAACCCTAGGCTGCGGTTCCAAATTTCCCTTTTTTTGCAGGATTGACTTCAATATCCAAGGAAGTTATCTATCAGTGAGAGGAACAGCATTTATCTGAATGCCTGTCCACCCTCACAATCCCAGTTGCCAAGGAGATGCAGCTAAATTAGTGGTTTGGGGGCCTTGACAGTTCTTGGTGATAGGAAAGAGTGCAAGGCTGCTGATCAATTCACAAGCGTCCTTGAGCTACTCTCGGCATGCGTACACACACGTATGAACCCGTTTGCTTCTCAAGGTTGAAGACATGGGATGTCTTGTGAAGGATGGAGTCCTTGAAGGCATGGTAATTGCTTGTGTGAGATGGAGAAGTTCCCTTGGCAACAAGAACAAAACCAGGTTCTGTTGTCTTATGTCCACCATGAAAAACGTAGTAGGAATTTGGGGCTAGATCTTTCCGTGGTTATGTCACATTCCTCCTCATTGCACACAAACACACACACATGTTCAACTCCCAGATGGAATGCCTCTCCTTGCACGTGGGGCTGGTGAAGATGCAAGCAACAAAGGACCCAGGACAGGTTGACCATCCCTTCTTTGGGCCAAGGATGGTAGTGAGATATTGCACTTCTTGGGTGTTGGGAGTGTTGACTTCCTCCAGGCGGGGCGATCACCCCTGAGAGCCAGAGTTCGATTGGGGGACGCCACGCCCAAACATCTCCTGCCCCCACTCCTTGTGGGTGGATTCCTGGAGGCCACGGCCTCTGGTCTCGATGGGAAGCAAGCAGGAGGCCAAAGCTGCCAAGATGCAGCACCCACTGTAGACGATCAGCGTCAAGTAGACCGAAGACTCCAGCATCACCTGGAAATGGAGGTAGAAGAAGATCAGCAAAGAGTGGTGTCCTTGCCAGGGTTGAGACCAAAGAAAGAACCCTCCAGGCTTGGTCAGATCTCCCAGGGTTAAATTAGGTTGGACAAGCCATGATCTTGATTACGGTTGATTAGCGTGTTGGAACTTTGCAATAATATTGTGACAAAGATTATGGTTTCCTGTTCCTACCTAGAGCAGTCTAGGTAGATGAGGTACCAATACAGGGAACTGCCTTATATCTGAAGAATGGAGAAGGCAGGCAACCTCTTCATGATATTTAGCCCTTTGTGTGTGTCCTCACAATTGTGCTATTGAAGGCTCTTTAGAAACATATATTGGCGAATGAGAAGCAGCTTAGAGAACCTCTCGTGAATCGGGAGGGGTTCTAGCAAATCTAGCATGAAGATCCAGGTTCTGCCATTGTATTGCTAGAGCTTCCCTTCAGGAGTCTCCAGGAAACCTGATTCATTGGGATATCCCAGGACAGGACTGGGTCAAGGGAAACCCCGAGTAGCCACGAGGAGGTGTCCTGGCTTTACCTGGGCAATGAAGGGTGTGATGAGGGCACCAACTCTGGCCACTCCGCTGCATGTCCCCAGACCCAGGGCACGGGTGGCAGTTGGGTAGACCTGTTGAGAAAACCACAGTCGCCTTGAGGCTCCCTGCGTGTCCCTTTGCTTGCTGCCGCTGGCTGTCATTTGGCCAAGCCCTCTCCCTTGGAAGCGCCAACACCGCTCTTGGCTAGAGAAGAGGCGCTTTCCCTGCCTACCTCAGGGGTGTAAACATACGCGGCCTGGAATCCTCCCGAAATAAAGGCCCTGGCGATGAAGAGCAGTACGGTGAGCACCTTCCTGTATCAAGAGAGGGTGGCTTTTGCTTTCAGAGGCCCAGCCCACGGACCTTTCCCTCAACAGGGTGTGTATGTGTGTGTGTGTCTCTCCACTTCTCTGGATCCCCCGGACTCACCTGCCGACACAGAGGAAAAGCAGGAGGCTGCAGAAGGCAAAGACCAGGAAGGAGAGGGCCATCGTCTTCTTGCGGCCGATCCGGTCAATCACCCACAAGGTCACAAGAACCCCTGGAGGAGGAGGAGAGGAACCTGAAGGCCATTCCACCACCACCAGGGTCTGGGTACGAGGGGGAGTCCTTCCAGGTTGCAGGAGGTCTGGGGTCCCCTTCAGCAAGGGAGGGTCTGGCCAGCCACTGGTTCCAGGTTGGGTTATCAACTTCTCTGAACTTGCTGGCCAAGTCCGATCAGAGAGCAACTTCCCCGAGAGCCATTTCTAAGAGCAGAATTGGTAGGTGCTGCACACATCTCCAGGGTGACAGCCCCACGTGGGAAGGCCTGTCCTTTCTCCTGGCAACCTCTCCTCAAAGGACTGTGGGACGATACCTGGGAGAGCGAAGTGCCCCCCCCCCCAGACCATAATCACCATTTCAATAGAAACGGGATAGAAATGAGGGGAAACGGCCAACATATCTCTTCGAAGGGAAATTCCAGAGGAAGAAATTCATTCTTAAATTGGGTAATGCAGCTAAAGCTTAAAAGTACTTTGGCAGCGTGCCCGTTTTAATGAGCCAAATTCCCATTGGGTTCATATCTGAGAACTTCCTTCCCAGCCACAGCGGTGCCAAAAGGACGAAGAGGAGGACCAGAACAACACAACACAAGCTCCTCCTTTCATTCTTGCTCCTCCCCCAGGTGCAGACCCCCATGGGCACCCCATCCCCTTTCCGAAGGTCTACCTGGGAACTCCGAGAGGGTGGTCCAGAGCAGGTCAATGTAGTCCTTTTCCGTCAGAATTTCACACGCCAGGCTACATTTGCCCTTCACCGTTTTCCTCCTGCTGGACACTTGGATGGAGCATGGAGAAAGAGAGGAGGGGAAGGAAGTGAGGTCTTCAGCTCCCACCCTTTGCTGCACAGCCCACCACTGGAGAGTGCCCCGAGGCCTGGCTGTGCTTTCTGCTCACTGCTGGCAGAATCCCCCTCACTCGACCTTCAGCAAGGTGGACCCACCAGATGTCCGCAGGGTGACCAGCCCACCCAGGGCAGACTTTAAGGAACCCCCCTGCCCTTGGGAAATGCCCGTGGAAGTATTGAGAGGGTCCGCTACCCACCCTAACAGGCCACTGGCTGAATGGGCATCTTGCCAATGGTCCTGCTTGACCTCAGCTGAGGGTCCAGGTAGAAACATCCGTTGAATAAAGCTTCCCCAATCTGATGCTGGACAGGATGGGGGGGGGAGGGGGGCATCAGCTTGTTTTAGTGGAAACTTCAGAGATTAACTCTAGGCCAGGATCTCCAAAGTTGACCTCTTTAAGACTTGTGGACTTCAACTCCCAGAATTCCTCAGCCAGCTATTAAACATGGTGGCTGGGACTGGAGAATTATCTGGGAATCAGAAATAAGGCAGCCAAGAATCGGAAACCAGCAGCTGGTGGAAAGTGCAGCATAAAGAGGAGATGCTACTGGAGGGCAGAATAGGTGGCCCCTGAGGTCCCCACTGAGAAGCTCCAGTGTCTTCCCTCAGAAGAATCCTTTGGGCTAGCCTTAAGGCAAAGGGCATTCTGGGCAGGTTCTCTCCCCGCTCTGTCTGACTCACAGCTGCAAAGGTCTTCCGCTTGGAAGAGCTCCGTGGTCAGCAGGACGAGGCCGTAGTAAGAAAAAGCATTGGAGAACCTGGGAAGAGGACAGGAAAAACCGTCAGAAAATGAGACGCCCTCAAAAGGAAGCATAAAACAACCACCGCTATCGGCACCCGAGAGAGAAGAACTACAGCAGCCAGTTGCGTCTCACTGGAGAGGAACCGAGGCGTGTTCTGAGATGCTCCCCCAGACGTTCTGCGTTTGTCTCGGAGCAAAGTTATTAAATCTGATTTAACCCACCTCCTGGGAGACTTCAGCAAGCAACCGCTCGCTTTACTGACTTCTTACTGCTGTGTGTCTGTTTCTCCACTCACATTTTTACTATTTAAAAAGTCTCGGTCAGTTTATCAGTGTGAATCTTTCCAGCTTTGGACTCAGTGGGGGTCTGCAGGATTCCACTGTAGTGAGACTTCTGGGATGTGGTCCTTTATGCTAAGGGGCCCACAGGACACTACCTGGACCCACAGACCTACTGCCTAGGGTGGGCAGAGCGTCCCAAGGGAGCTGCTTGTCAACAGCCAGACCTCCATTCCCTTCAGCCAAACTGCCTGTAGGCCACCAGCCCACCTGGGACGAGCAGCCTTGCCGTCTTACCAGATAAACCACAGCAGAAGTGTCGTCAGTCTGAACTGTGGCGTGAATAAGTCCCTCATTTTCCCTCGATCTTCCTGTTTGGAAACAACAAATTGTTCAGTGCTGTCTCAACAATCAGCATAAAGTCAGGTGCAAATGTGCAGCTCCAGGTTCTCTTGGGTGAACTGGAAGCCACACAGGCAAGGAGTCCAGGTCACCAATCTCTGAGGTTTATTGCACGAGCAAGAAACGCTGTTTAAAAAGTTTGCCAGCAACTGCCAAGTACGAAACGCAAGCCCTGTTTATAGAGAAGTCTGGCTTCAAATGCAACGTCTGCTTTTTCCTACTGATGCCTGCCTGCCTTTGGATCGACGGCCGGTGGGAGGTTTTCTCAGCAGTTTAGAGAAAGAAAACTAGTCAAACCAAACCATCATGAAGACAGGTGGCTCCCATCCCATCCTCCTCAACTCACCTGCCTAGACATAATCAGTTTCCCCAGAGGCATCGGGGCGCCATTCTCAGTTGCAATCCTTTTCAATGTAGCAATGGCCTTCTCTTGGTTACCGGTTAACACGTCGTATCGGGCACTTTCTGGCAGCCACTGCAGGAGACAAGGAAGGCTATGAGATGTTGCCCAGTTTGGCTTTCCCCAACCTGATGCCCAGCCTGAACCTCCTGTCTTGTTGAGGGAAAGCGGGGTGGTCATCGGACACTTCTTGAGGACATGAGGCCTTAGACTATCTAACTACCAAGGAAGGAAGGCCATCTCATGTGCAGCCAGAGACTCTGACCCCAGAAAGAATACGTACAAAACACAAGATGGCAAACAGCATAAGAGGGAGAGCTGAAAGGAAGAGCAGCCAACGCCAGCCAAGCGTGGGCATCACAAACACCGCAAGGAGGACTTCAAAGACAGTTCCGATGGCCCAGAAGACCTGTCCGTGGAAAGGAGGCAAAAACAGGAAGGGTTTTTTCCAGTGGATGAGTTCCATCTCTTCAGGGTAGATTAATTGCCTCGGCTGTTGATGGCCACCATTGCTGGAAAACCTGTTCTGCATGACTTGCTCACCTGGCACTCTCCCAACCAATGTGGCAGCTTTGGAGCCACAAACAGTAAAAATGGACTCTGAAAACTCTACTGCTCAGCTTTTCATTTTGGATTTCTCTGTCATCTGAAATCTGACTTTTCTCCACTCACCTCAATCAGCAATATGCACTTCGCTCTGGATTTCATGGGGAGGAATTCTGCGTATAACGTTACCCTGGAAAGAATAAAAACTTCAAAGAGGTATATTGCAGCATTACAACAATAGGGGTCCTGATATCCAATAAAACTGTTCAGTTTTCACTGAAGCTCCAGTGGTTGAAGGTTGAAAACAGCTTTATCCTGACTTGGTGATGGATTCAGAATTGGGGAGCCATGAGAAGATGGCGGCCATTTCCAACAGGCCTCCTCTAAAGTCCGTGTTGTGTCTGGACAAAGGGAGGGTATACTTACGACTGAGGGACGCCTCCAATCCCAAAGCCCACCAAGCCCCTCAGGACCAAGATCCAGCTGTAAATTGGTGCAAATCCACTAAGGACTCCGTAGTACAAGGTCCAGAGCACGCTGATCTTCAGCCCCTGCGCAGGAGGAAGAAATGGCAAGAGAGCAAAATTTACTGCTCCCCTGACGAAAACCCCAAACTTTCCCCTTAGGGTTAACCTGCAGAATATATAGCAGATAATCCTTGAGCCTGTAAATGGGATTACAGATGGGAACTGCAGAGGATCGAGATGGCAGTTCATACATCTGGAAGGATGCTAAGTGGAGTAATGATGGTTTAGCATTTAATGCAAGGGGACTAGCAAATATCCCAGAGGCATGCGGGAGACTTACGGTTTTTCTGCCATATTGGTCTGAAATATTTCCCCACAGTGTGGAACTAAACATCATCCCCAGGAAAACCACCTGCAAAGAATAGACAAAATGCATTTGTTAAGTGCAAACTGAAATGGGGATTTCCTAAGAAGACGACTTCCTAATGATGAAGGAAAAAGATGCTTAGGCAAAGAGGCATCCCACAGACTCTCTGCACAAGAATTTTACAGGAGCCCTTGCCATGTCTAAGGTAAATAAGCACAATTTATTGATGGCTTTGAATGTATCCTCCACCCAGCTCTAATGGTCACCTTCTCTGAGCATTAAAAATCACACAAGACAATAAAGGATAGAAGGTAACGGTAAAAGAGAAGGAGAAAGGTAGAAGGATCAGGTAAATTGGCCATACCTTCAAAAATATCAGTGTAATATACTGGGGGGTAGGTGAAATGCATTTATCAGGCAAACATAACAAACAATGTTAATCACTTCTGACTCATTAAATTCAGTCCCTTATTCATTCAAATTGATGGATAATCTTCCATGGGTCCATGACCTCAGGAAAGGGAGTTATCTGGAGGGAATTGCCAGTGTAATTCTATGCATGGGATATAACAAACATTGCCATAACTGTTCTCAGTGCCTGCAACTTCTTGTAAGTTAATCAGGAAAACAAACTCTTTATTCCCCTGAAAACAATAAAGTAGGTTCCTATCAGACAATAAATTGTCACAAGCATCATTGGGGGCCAAGTCCCAGATCTAGGCTGCTGAAATTAATTAGAGTAGGCCAAGATTCTCAGCAGATGTTATTGTTGCTTTGTCTCAAAAAGTAAAGTGAGAAGCAAAACTAATACTGAAATTCAACATGTGGCGTCTGGCTCAATGGGGCTGACAACTAAGGAACCATACATAGGAATGGCTACAGTTTACTTCTAGCAATGCCAAGAATTTTCATGCTCCCTGCATTATTAAACTTGCTTGCTGAAAATAGTGGAGCTCCCCACTGTTAACATCCCAGGGCAACGAGGGGAAACCCCTTAGAAGATACAGGAGGAGCTGTGTGGTATTTTCCTACCGATGTGAGCAATGCAACTTGCCAGGTGGGTAATCGCCACTCACAATGAAGCTGAGGTGCCAAGATGCTCAGAATCATCATTTCCATGGCATCAGCCATCTGGAAGTGAAAGGAGACGATATGATCAACCCTCTGCCAAGGTCCTTCAGAACCAATGTACCCCATTGCCTAGGTCAGGGGCCTCCAAACTTGGAAGCTTAAGAAACTTGAAACTTAACTCTCAGAGTTCCCCAGCCAGCCATGGGAGTTGAAGTCCACAAGTCTTAAAGTTGCCAAGTTTGGAGATCCCCTATCTAGGTGGACCAGTCAAGATAAGCCCAGTCTTGCTTTGAGCTAATACTTCCCAAGAACCCATCAAGAATGGTAGATCCATTTACTTGCCCATGCTAAGCCAGTCAGAACGGAGAGTTTCCACTGGAACTTGCCAAAGCCAATGGCTTCCACCACGTCTTCCACCATGAAAGTATCTGGGAGACAAGTATGCCAGGAGACAAGGTGATTTCACCCACAATCCCATTTCCAGGTTGCTTTCGTGTGCTGGCCTGCTATGACCACTTTGCTTTTTTTTTTTTTCCTCAAGGTCAAGGGCTAAATGATCTACTTACCATCAGTTGGGTTGGCAAACTCCTTTGGCACAATGCCTCCATCTTCCAACTCTACAGCTTCTAAGTCAGTCTGGACACCCTCAATCTGAACTTCGTGCTCTCCTGACACGGTATCGTCTTCGGATCGGGTGCTTTCTCCTGTCCGACGGAACTTGACAACTCTAGCAAGATGGAAGAGATTCATTCCATGGAGGTTGGAAGAAACCAGAATTTGGCTTAGCACCTCTGTTGGTACCAGACATAAGCTGAGGTCTTCTGCTGGGGAGTCATAGTGAGGCCTGTTGTTTTCTGGATGTCAGATTTGCAGAGAAAGTTTCTATCTTTGTCTGGAGGAAGTTATGCCAAAGGGCATCTTAGAAGTGATAGCTCATGAAATCAAAGAAATATGTAAGCTATTTAATGGTGAAGGATCTTGATTGCTTGCCAGAAACTAAATCTGTTTCCCTGTGCAGATGGCAATGAATCCAGCAAAAGCTACAAGGTCAGTAAGTGCTGGGAATGCAAATATATATCTGAGATTTCAGACAATGACACTTTGGCTCCCAGCTGGCTAAATAAATACATTTGACACACATAAATATGAAGGGCCTGTTGTGGTTGCTTTGAGAAGGATATACAGAGACTAAAAAGTATCTCAAAGAGAATATTTCATATATTTTCAACCGAGAAGCAGAATTTCTGCTGCAATATGCCGCTAGTCATATGCTAGGAGAGCTTTTGGATGGGTGAGGTGAGAAGTGAGTTATTAGTATTTTGGTAATTTGAGAACAACCAAGATATTGAATTAGGCGGGTGAGGGCTGGGACAGAGATAATAAGGATAAGCACTACATTGGAAGAGAATAATTGTAGCTCAGGGTTGAACTGTGGAGTCCTTGGTGCTCTCTGAACTTGGTGGTTGTTCTTGCCAACGTTTCATCACCTGACTAGGTAACATCATCAGTGTTAAGGATAAACAGTGTCTTGTCTCCTGGATTTGAAATCATCATGGCCACAAATGACCCCATCCTGGTTTATTCAGCACACCCAGAATCCGAAGCCTCCATAGGACTGTAGGGCTTTCATGCTTTCCATCCGTGGCTGCTCTTCATGCTTTGCCCATTCATATTTCATCAGCATGAATTATGCAAGAAGCTGACAGACAGACAGGCCCCCTTTAGCAAGGGAGCTTCCATTTGCAGAATGGAAAAGAAGGGCAGGTGCTTTATGGAGACCCCTGCCCAGAAATGTTAGGCTGCACTGGCCAGACTGCCACGCCTAAGGAACCTTTACGGCATTGTGGGAGCGATCATTTATCCCACAAACTATATGCACCTTAATAAAGAAGAAGAGAGGAGAAGCTACATGACAGAAATATTGAGTCCACGTTAAACTGTTTACTAATTCCAAATACTTTGGTCATAGGAAGTTCACACTGAGTGACACCTGATCAATTTTGTGCCTCCCCCATGGCCAGCTTGCATATTCAAGAATTATCCATTCTGAAATCTTAAAACTGGGCAACCTCCTCACCTCCTTCATTTCACCAAGCAAAGTGGGCTGTAGCTATCACAATCTAGCTTGGCCTACAGGGAGGATCCTGAGTGAAGAAAAGGGCAGGACTGATTCCCAGAACTGAATCGGGCCCTTCTGGTTCTACTTTGAGATTTTTTTTGTGGGGAAGGAGAGGTTTGAGCGGGGCAAGATCCTGGTTCTGTGAGAGGGTTAGACTTCAGGAGCGGTGCTCTGTTTTCTACCCACTACAGAAGCTTTCCAAAGACTCTCTTTCTGGGACGGGAAGCATCTTTCAGAAAGTAAGACCCTGCCTGCCAGCACGAACCGGAGCTGGAATAAAAGAAAACAGAGCCATCCCATGGATGTCGGGGAGGAACTGTGCTTAAATAGGCTTTGCCTAGCAAAGCTCTCGGGCGGCGCTCGAGATGTCTCCGTGGGATGCATTTGTATGCACTGAAGCACCTCGCAGCTCTGAAAGGAGCTAATTAAGCCAACGTATAAAAGGCTCCTTCGCCCAGGAAACCTTGCAATTTGATCTGTGCTTGATTCACAGCCAGCAGTCAGCAAAATAAAAGGTTATTTCTTGACAGATCCAGACTGTCACAAGGAGAAATTCAAATTCCTGCAAATGTGTGGGTGTCTCTGTTCATCACACTTATCGGAGGTGGAAGCGTAAACTACCCCCCCCCCCCTTCTGCCTAGCAATGCCATGCATATTCTCCCAAGTCTTTTCAAAGCCTTCCTCCTCCTCCCCCCTCCCCCGCAGATCTTTCTGCAAACCTGTATTTGCAGGAGAAAGCAAAGGAATTCCTAGCCACCCCCATTCTTGCAGCATTTGGGAAGAGAAGGAAAAACATGTCCAGAATCTAAGATCTTCAGTTTCCATGATCGCAAACATTTTGGCTGGGTCAAAATTCTGAAATTTCCCTTCAGAAAATAACACCTCCCACAAAAGACGAAGTGTTGATCCTGGGAGGAAGCAAACAATGTTTTGGGCAGGGTCCCCCATGCAAGGACCCTCCAGTTGGTGGGACTACAACTCTCATCCGTCAGCGATGGCTGGGAGGATCGGAGCGCTCCAGTCCCAGGCCTCTGGAGGGTCCCGGCTGGGGGTGGGAGGGGACCTTGCAAGCAAGGCATTTGGGGCAAGACACAACAGGGGTCTTTGTAATACCCCCCAAGGAACTGGGCGCTCTCCCCACCCCAGGCTACTTACGGTAGTTGCCTTAGCTGGAACAAATCTTCCTCCATTGCAAAGGTGTGGCTGGAACTCTCATCGCTCTTACATGGTGGGGAGAAGAGGAGAAGCAGGTGATTTCAGGAGGCTGCGGAGTAGGACAGCTCCCGTTGCAGCCAGCCTGCCTGCGCCATGCAAATCCAGAAGGAGGGGACACGCTCTGTACCAGCAGCAGCAGCAGCGGGGGAGGGAGGGAGGGGGGGAGGGAGCTTACTTGTCTGGAAATCCTCCCCTCTTCCTTGCTGGCTGCTCTCAGTTCACTTCCCTGGCTGCAGGGCAATCTTCCACCTCGCTTGCAAGAGACCTTTGCAACACCCCAGGCAGGGATAATTAGAAGAAAACCTAGAGCTCTTGGGGGCAGAACACCCCAATCTAATACTGGGGCCCCGGCTGGGTGAAAGAGCTCTACAAGATGGATCCAGCTCTCCAAAGCTCCTCCTACAGCTGTAGGGTTTGCTGCAAGAGATGACTAAGAAGAGATTTCTTGCTGGGTTGGAAGAGATTCTTGGCTCCAGAGCTGGAAATGTAAGCCATGCTCTTCTGTAAGTAGCTCTTCTTTTCAGGGGCTGAGCGATGGAGGAAGCTTCCATCTTTTGCCTCTTCACTTGCAACTCCTGTAGCCTTCCAGGGCTGGCTGTGGCAGGTGGAGTGGTTGAGCTGAGTTGAACGAAATTGCAATAAAAGCATTTTAGAAGTAGTAAGGAGCTAAACTCAGTTCAAAAAAATGAATGCATGTGGTGCAGGATTACAAAGTGGTGGGGAACAGCAAATAGAAGAGCAGGAGGGTCAGACAAGATCCTGAGTTTCCTATTAGAAGAAGAAACACCAGAACTTCCATTTATACTAGAATAAATGTGCTTTGCCCTAGCTTGGAGTATAACTGATGCAATGATGATCTTACAGTCTCATGGTCAAATCCTCAATCTGAAATCAATGCACCTGCCTCAGAATGCAAAGCTTATGCCAGCTTTTTGTCTCTCAGATGTGTGGTGTGTGTGTGTGTGTGTGTGTGTGTTTGGAAGTTGCTCTCCCTTCTCTGGAAGACAGAAAGTGAGGAAGGCTACCTTCTGGTCATTGGGAGGCTTGAGGGCACTGGATCTGTCTCGCAAGAAGTTGGCTTGGATAACTTCTTAACTCCACTTTTGGGTGTGTTGGCTTTTGCTTGGGCTAAGCAGCCTTCAGGCTCAGGGAATCAGGAAAGTCGGCACTGGAGGTGCCAAGGTGCAACTAGATAATGCATGGGAAGCCTGAAGCAACACGGTCTTGACTGGGATTTTGCACATGTCAGCCTTTTTGTCCTCTTTTTGGATCACTCCAGCTCATTGCAAGTTTTGTCCACGATTGAAAAGTTGCCTTAAATTCTAATCATATTAGAGAATGTGGTAGTTTGAAATGTTTCAGAACTGCTTTCCTTCATTTCTCTCACGCTGTTTAATATTTTGCTTCGACCCTCTTAAATATATTCAAAGTGTTTGGTTTCAGTTGGTGTTTGGGATGAACAATTAGTAGTGCAACTTTATTGCCTGGTGCTTAGTTCCCTCTGGACTCAGTGGGCTTTCTCCTGTGTAGAACTGCCAGTGCTTTAAAATTGCTTTAAAATACTTGATCTAGAATGCTGTTTTCTCTCTCTCTCTCTCTCTCTTTCTGCCTGCCGGGAAAAGATGCCCTCCTCCTATTATTTTCTAGGGAAGCTGCTGCCCGGAACCTTTTTTTCCACCCGCGGAACCGTGTTTTCGCGGCATCTGGGGTAGGACGGGATCCATTGAGCGTAGAACGCCTTAGCAACCGAGGGGGCGGGAAGACCCCGTTGCTACGAGACCCTCGGGAAGGAGCTGGACCCGTCGGCTTCCGCTCCCCCCGGAAAGTCTTCCCCGCGCGTCCCGGACCCGCATCTTCAGTTCCGTCCTCGGGGCACAGCCAAGGCGGGGATGCCGCTGAGCCGCTTCGGCCGGCTGGAAACGGAGCGGGCGACGGCGGTGCTGCGGCGGCTCCTTCGGGCCGGGAGTTCGGCCAGGTCCGGCTGCGAGCGGAGCGGGTCGGCGCGCCGGCTCGGAATCCTGCGAGGGGCGGGGGGAGGCTGCCCTCCATCTTCCCCCCCGCAACCCGGAGGGACTCCTGTCATGTCTCTTTCCTTTCTTCTCAGGTCCAGGATGATGAGGAACTGGGGGGTCATCGGTGGGGTGGCCGCCGTCTTGGCCGCCGGCCTCTACGTCCTCTGGGGCCCCATGGCGGAGAGGAAGAGGCGCAGGAAAGGTGAGCAGGAGGGGTGCCCACTTGGGATGGCACCCACAACCCGGGTCTTCCCCTGGGATGTTGCCCAGTTGGGAATTGAAATGGCTGCAAGTCAACGGAAGACACCGGGGAGCCCCCCATGCAGCCTGCAGCTGAAGAGAAGCAGGGGGAGCCCCACAAGCCTGACCCTTAAATGGATCCTTTTCCTCCGCAACAGGGCTGGTGCCTGGGCTGCTCAATCTGGGCAACACGTGCTTCATGAACTCCCTTCTCCAAGGTCTGTCAGCGTGTCCTTCTCTCATTCAGTGGCTGGAAGGATTTGCAGGCCAGGACTCGGCTGGGCAGAGCAAGGAGGCTGGGCAGCGGTCCCTCTCGCTGACCTTGCTCCGCTTGCTGAAAGGTGGGGATCCCTTTGCAAGACCTCGAGGGGGTGTTTGTGGTGTCTGTCACTTTTCTGAAGTCCTGTCTTTTAACCTTTGATTCCTTGTTCTGTTCATTGGATTACCTAGCAGGCAGACACAGCACTTTTTATGCTAACGGAGGAAGCGGCGATGTAGTGGTGGAACACAGTTCTAGAAATGATGCTGTGAATATAGGCACGGCAAGAGGACGCACTTCATCTGAAATTTGTACAAAACTAAATGCAAATTCTGCCATTTGACAATGTTAGGGCAGGCAAGTGCGTTCTGACAGCATTGGTGTCAAGATTTTCCACTCTGTAGACAGTTCCAAAGCACATGAGTGTAAAGCATTTTCTTGAGAATCAGAGGCTCCAGGACTGGGAGGGGAATAATTCCCTTTTCTAAGCGTCTGCATTAACTCTTTGTTGCTTTCAGCTTTATCCTGCCAAGAGGCAACTGAGGATGACCTCCTGGATGCAAGCTGCTTGTTGGAGGTTTTAAGGCTGTACCGCTGGCAAATCTCCTCTTTTGAAGAGCAGGTAGTGATCAGGAAGAAGTAAGGCTTCTCGCTATCCCCACACTGACGGCCTGGTCTGTGATATCGGGCATATAAAAACAGGAGCAAGAGTTGCCTTCTTTCTCCCTGTTCATTGCAGTCATCTTTCCTGCTGTTGTTGACCAGGCGTTTTAAACTCCCCTGTCCCTTTTTTCTTTTCTTTGTCAGGATGCTCATGAACTGTTCCATGTTCTGACTTCTTCACTGGAAGAAGAACGAGACAGACAGAGCCAGATTCCACATTTATTTGACGTGCATTCACTGGAGGTGAGCGAAAGAACAGCTAAGGAGTACAACTAGAATTAGAACAGGAACCAAAATACAGTTTAAGCCAATCACCTGTCCTCTACCTACCTGGGAGTTTGCCATCTTGAACTTTTGAGGGTTTATTTTTCAATAGCCTACGTAGGGCTGGGCAGGGATACATTTTATCTTTCTTTACAATGTTTAAATCTCCAAGACAAGTAATTCAAACAATCAAGTCTTGATATTTCTGACTATTTGCTACTACACTATTTGTTGTTTTTCCTATCTAGGAGCCGGAAATACCTCAAGAGCAAATATGCTGCCGGACAAAAGGTAAAAAAACCAAAAACTTTAACAGGGTTGGCAGCCTTATTACACAACAGATTGTGGCAAATGAGTTTTATTTTGTAGGTCCACTTTATCCTGTGCCAAATCGTTGGAAAAGGCGGCATCCTTTTAATGGGAGACTGACCAGTCACATGGTTTGCAAGCACTGCAAGCAACAGGTACATAAGAAAAATAAGTGCAGCTTTTTGGATCCACTGTGTAGAAATGTGTGATCTTCTGGGATCCACCAGAAAGGAAGATGGGACTGTCTGACTTGAGCAGGGCAATGGAGGGGCTTCTCCTTCCTTGCCTGTCTGATGGGAAGATGTTCAGGTGGAATCTGGTGCTCCTTTCTCTCTCAGAGTCCCCTCAGATATGATACCTTCGACAGCCTGTCCTTGAGCATCCCGGCCACCCTGTGGGTAAGTCCGTTTCCTTGGAGGTCCACAGCGATGCTTTACTAATCTGCCGGACTCCTGACCTTTGCTTGACTTCCTCCCGTTGTCCACAGGGCCATCCCTTGACACTGGACCACTGTCTTCGACACTTCATCTCCTCCGAATCAGTCAAGGATGTTGTATGTGACAACTGTACCAAAGTAAGTCTTCCGAATGCCTTGGGATCACATGGCGGTGATCTGTATTTCACACACCAATTTGCACACAGGTGTAAAAGTAGCATCTTTGTGGATTGTGTCTTAGATCCACCTGAGCACTTTAGAAATTGTGTTGTCCTTTTCCCCAAGATTCAGGCTGAAGGGACGAAGGGCCTCCAAATTATGGAGCACCGGAGAACGACTTTTGTTAAGCAGCTAAAGTTAGGAAAGGTAAGAATTGGGGTGGAGGAACTGTGGTGGGTTTATTTGGAGGGGCAAAGGACCACCTTTCTCTTGTTACATGTACTGCAAACTCTGCAGAGGAAATTTGCCAGTGGTTCTGCGTGGATGTCCTAAGAGCCAGGGGTTCCTATTTGGGAAAACGTTGGGCTTGTGTTTCAGCTACATTGCACATGGGAATGCTTCGTCCTGCCACCAGCAGCCCTGTTTCCTTCTCTCTCTCTTGACTTCCTAGCTCCCTCAGTGTCTCTGCATCCACCTGCAACGGTTGAGTTGGTCCAGCCATGGCTTGCCCCTGAAGCGGAACGAGCACGTGCAGTTCAGCGAGTTCCTCATCATGGATCTGTACAAGCAGCACTTCCCCACCCATAAATCCAGCCCCAGGGAGGGTCTGCAGGCAGAGCCAGACTCCGGGGA